TATGTAACTTTTTTCTCCATGTTTTTTGTTTACTATAAATCCCATTAGCCCCAGCCAGCCTAGAACAAGGGAGCAGATGAATGCAGGAAACATTTGCGTGAGTGAGAGAAGGACAGAGAGGACAAGAGAGAAGTAAGAAGAATAAATCTTAGGTAGAAGTTGAGGTGAGAAGGCAAAAGAAAGAAGAGAAAGCAAGAATTAACAGAGAAAGTGCCTTAGCAGACCTAAAGTAAACAACTGGCATGTGCTTTAGGCTAAGAAAATAATTTGTTCGGTGCCTTCAATTGTTTCAGATGGAGCGAAGAAGGTGGAAACAGGACCGGGAATGCAAATAAGGAGGTAAAAAAGCCACAAAGCAGCAATCCAGTAGTAACACAGGAATTAGACAGTAAATACTAAGGCAACTCAAATGCTAGCTGATCCCAGAGAAATTTTGAGATGGAAGGAATTGAGAAGGAAAGAAGAAAAGAAGGAGTCCAGTATGCAACAGGCACCCCAAGGCAGTAGCAAGGGCCAACAACACACAGGGATAACATACTATTTTTTAAGGCAGCACTTTCACCCAGAGAGTTAGTTCCCCCTTTGCCCTGAAAATTGTCCAGCCAGGAGAGCTGGAAATTGTTTTTAAAATACACTGCTCAAATGGCAAATTATTGTTATATGACTAGTACAGTACGGTTTTTGCTATGGTAAAAGGTACTGATAAAGTTTTTAACAGGAGACATGTAAAGTTTCCTAATATAAAGAAACAGTTGTTTGATTTAATTATCAACCAAATTAATGGGAAACAATAATATTTTTAAGACTACAGAAATACCTGACATCCTTCTGACAAATGCACAAACACATGACTTGGATTGTTATGAATGGAAACAGAAACTCTTAGCAACATTTACTATGAATGACACAATACTGAAACCCGGTCCTTTTAATTTCAACAGTGAGCTTCGTTACTACAGTCATCCACTCACAATTGCAGTCTTGAATTCCATGCATTTCATTATTAATGGATTTGTTCTTTCTAGGAATTTCCAGTGCAACACTATCATCAAATTCCTCTAATAATAAATTTTTCAAAATTCGTGTCAGGAACGACTTGAGAAACTGCAAATTGCTTCTGATGTGAGTGAATTGGCTGTCTGCAAGGATGTTGCCCAGGGGGCACCTGGATGTTTTACCATCTTGTGGGAGGCTTCTCTCATGTCTCTGCATGGGAAGCTGGAGCTGACATTCCCTGGATTTGAACTGCCAACCTTTTGGTCAGCAGTACTGCTGGCACAAGGGTTTAACTCATTGCACCACTGGGGACTCCAGCTATCAAGAATAACAAAAACAGATGCAATATATTCAGGTCTAAGCCCCCTTTCTAGATCACATAACTGCTTATGTGTTTTATAAATGTGGAAAACAATGGTTGAGGAGGAGGAATGAAATAAACTCAATGGGATAAACATACAGCTTTTAAAGACCTCAACTCTCATCACCCCTAGCTGGAACAGCCCAAAGAAAGGAATCTTGGGAGTTGCAATCCACAAACCTAGAAGCTTCCACCTCTGTTGTAAGATGTGCTAAAGTTTTACATAAGAAATTTAAACAATTTGAGACCCCTATCTTGGGAGAAAGAATGGAAAAAATAAATCAAATGTATTCACAATTTTTTCTGTATATTTATTGAATCTATGCCCTATCCTTTTCCAAGATGGGATCCCATTGATGCATTATATAATGTATGGCTAGCTTTTTATTTATAGTATTTCATTGTGGATTTAGGTAAGCTTGTTGTTTTACCGACCGCCTCCTAAATTACAGCTGGATTTTTGTTTTCTCCTGCTAGAAGAGAGTCTCCTTTGGGTATTAGACCTCTCCCTGGTTCTCCCTTTTGAACCCTTCTCCCACCATGAGACAGACTCTGATTCACCCAGGTGCTATTTCACCCGCCTACAAAACCTCATCAGCTTCCCTGAGAGTGCTAAGCATGGAAACAGACACATCTAGGCCTTTAATCCTGTTAAAGAAGCCTTTGGCTGTAACTGGAATTACTCTCTCCCTTCTACCTGTTAAGAGGTAGGATTTAAAAGAGGAAAGGGTGCCTCCTTCTGCCTGGAAGACACCACTGCAATCAACCTGAAACACTTGGCAACTGCATGCAAAACATACACAATTGTACAAATCCAGAGAGCCAGCGTAGTGTACTGGTTTGAGCACTGGACTACAACTCTGGAGATTAGGGTTCAATTCCCCATTTGACAATGGAAACCCACTAGGTGACTTTGGGTGAGTCAGGAATTCTCAGACCCACAAAACCCAAGATAAGTTTGCTGTTAAGTTGAAATTATTGAAGGCCCATATCAAACACTGGGTAAAAACAGGGCTGGGATTAACCATTAAGCAAGACAAGCACCTATTTAGGGCATCAAGGGAAGGAGGCATCACACAAACACACAAAATTCTTTTTTTTTTCTCATGTCAGGAGTGACTTGAGAAACTGCAAGTCGCTTCTGGTGTGCGAGAATTGGTTGTCTGCAAGGATGTTGCCCAGGGGACGCCCAGATGTTTTACCATCCTGTGGGAGGCTGACAGACGGGAACTCACCCCACTCCCTGGATTCAAACCACCAACCTTTTGGTCAGGAGTCCTGCCAGCACAAGGGTTTAACTCATTGTGCCACCGGGGAATCCAACAAAATTCATTGACAGGTGTACAATGGATTCTATGGTGCAAAACCACAAATGATGCATCTGAACTAAATTCCATAAAAAATTGCAATTAGAAAAAATGGGAGAAAACTTTTTGAATATAAATAAAACAAAAGTACACAGACCAAACCACTATTTTATCATTTTACAGTAAGTTTTGCTTCATTAAAAAAATACTTTGTACCAGTATACATACACTGCTATATATAGGGGCTCCAAAAGCTTTTAAGTGCTTAGGGTTTCGAACAAAATCTTAATCCAGCCAGGCATGTAGCCAGAGGGGGGGCTCGGGGGGCTTCAGCCCCCCCCCCCCGAAATTCTCATGGTGGTTCGCGAAAGGCCTTACTGGTGCATTATTTAAACTGTTATGTTTATTCATATCATGATCTGATCACCATACTCAATATATCCCATATGCATGGGGGTATTGGGGTAATGATACAAAAGGTTTGCTAGGGTAGACCCTCTTTCACTCAGACTCAGCCCCCCGAAACTCAGCCCCCCCCGAACCCCCCCTGAAAAAAATTCAGCTCCCCCCCCGAAACGAAATCCTGGCTACGGGCCTGAATCCAGCCCTATCTAGATTACCACTTTCTAGGCCAGGGTTCAGTTCAGTCATGGAAACCCATGGGTTGACCTTGAGCAAGTCATATTCTCTTCAGTCCCTGAAAATCCTGTATTAGCTTTGCCATACATTGGAAACGGCTTGAAGACACACAACAACAAAGTACAAATCAAACAAACACTGCGAGGAGGAGGAGGAGAGGCGAAAGAAGGCACAGGTAGGGGCGGGGCATAACTGGGATTCAGATTGAAATCTCCTCTGAAATTTACCCCATTAAGAATTTAAAGAACTAGATGATAACTTTTCCAGGAAAGAAGTCCAATCTATTGACCGTGGGCCACATCACGCCTCAAGTCTGGCCACAAACATTAAACAGATTGATAAAACTGGAAACCTGTTCAGCAGTTGCCACATGGCTATGCTTCAAAACGAAAGTTAGGATTCATAACAGGCATGGGCAAACTTTGGCCCTACTTCCAGGTGTTTTGGACTTCAACTCCCACAATTCCTAACAGCCTCAGGCCCCTGCCTTCGCTTAAGCGGCTGAGGGGGGAAAGGAAGGGGCCTGAGGCTGTTAGGAATTGTGGGAGTTGAAGTCCAAAACACCTGGAGGTAGGGCCAAAGTTTGCCCAAGCCTGATCCATACTGTAAAATTAATGCAGTTTAGCTCCATTTTAACTGGTTCAATGCTATGGGATTCTGGGGTTTGTAGCTTTACAAGGCCTCTAGCCTTCTCTCCCCAACTACAACTCCAATGAATCCATAGCCGTGAGTCATGGCAGTTCAACTACTTCATCACACTAGAGAATGAATCCACTTTAAATCTGGTTTCTGCCTCCTGCAGAATTCTGGGGTTTGTAGTTTAGCGAGATTGTTAAAGACTCCTCTCTAAACTACAACCCCAGAATTCTGCAAAAAGGCCACAACTGAATTTAAAGTGGATTTCTTCTTTAGTGTGGTAAGGTCCCAAGTGCTGTCAAAGTGGATTCCTTTTACAGTGTGGGTACAACCCTTCTCTCCTGAAACTGGCAGGGGATCCTAGATAATTTCAAGAGGGTCCTTTCTCCCTAGGTGAACACATACAATACCCCTTTTCAAAATGTATATATATTTAAATACATCTAAGGGCCCTTCCACACAGCCCTATATCCCAGAATATCAAGGCAGAAAAATCCAATAATATCTGCTTTGAACTGGGTTATCCGAGTCCACACCGCCATATATTCCAGTTCAAAGCTGATATTGTAGGGTTTTCTGCCTTGATATTCTGGAATATAGGACTGTGTGGAAGGGCCCATAGGCCTCATCTACACTGCTATACAAAATCCAGATTATCTGTTTTGAACTGGATTACATGGCAGTGTAGACTCATATAATCTAGCTCCAAACAGATAGCGTGGATTTTCTGCTTGGATTATATGGCAGTGTAGAAGGGGCCTGATACAACCCAGATCAAATCAGATAATGCAGATTATCTGCTTTGATAATCTGGATTATATGGCAGTGTCGATCCAGCCTTAGAATCAGACAGGAGTGCAAAAAACCAGGTGCCTTTCCACACATAATATCAAGGCAGAAAATCCTACAGTATCTGCTTTGAACTGGGTTATCTGAGTCCACACTCAGATAATGTGGGATTTCCTGCCTTGATATTCTGTGATATAGGGCCGTGTAGAAGAGCCCTATGGAGGGATAACAAAGAGGCACACTGGCCCAAACAAGTCAAGGAAAAGCCTTACCTGTAGTGGAAACAATCCTGTTTGAAGACCCAGCAGGTACTTGGGGGGAGAAATAAGAACACGAGGCAGGTTTGCAAGAAGGATCCGGGCAGCTTCCTACAGCCACCTCCCTTTCCTTCGATCAGGAAGCAGGCCAGAAGGGTGTGTTGATCCTCTCGCAGGATACTTTTTTGCCTTTTTGTTTTTGCCTTGCTTTTCTGAGTCAGGCTATTTCCTGCTTCGACGATACCAGGGAAAGGGAAGGGAGGGGGGAAAGAAAAAAGAAACTTGGAGGAGGTGTTTTGTTCAGGGCGGGCTCTGATCAGGTTGCAGGTGAGCAAAAGGAAGCAATGAGAACACCTCCAGAGAAAGGAGGAGGAGCCATTCAAGGCAGCTACACTGTAGGATTAACGCAGTTTGATACCACTTTTCCTGCCATGACTCAAGGCTATGGAATCCTGGGAACCACAGTTTCACAAGGCTCTCTTCCAAAAAGTGCTGGTGCCTCACTAAATTACAACTCCCAGGACTCCACAGCATTGAGCCAGGGCAGTTCAAGTGGTGTCAAACTGCATTCATTCCACAGTGTAGTGCACCTGCTGTTTTTCTTTCTTGGTTCCCTAGGGATTTCATATGGGTAGATCAGGCCTGGGCAAACTTGGGCCCTCCAGATGTTTTGGACTTCCACTTCCACAATTCCTAACAGCCGGTAGGCTGTTAGGGATTGTGGAAGCTGAAGTCCAAAACACCTGGAGGACCCAAGTTTGTCCAGGCCTGGGCTAGCCTAGTGATTTTCAGCCTATGGGTCCCTGGTTTACCAGCTGTTAGGATACCAGGGAGTTGAAGGCCAAAACATCTGGGGACCCACTGGTTGAGAACCACTGAGCTTGATGAACATGAGTGCTTTCCCTGTTCCATGATCCTGGCAGAGGCCACTAGGAAGTGCGCTAGAGAGAGAAGGATGGTCCATTTTATGGGGTAGAGGGTGGGCCGAAGGAGGAAAACTATTTCTCCCAATTTTTCCTGTTATTTCCCTTCATCATCATTCATTCATTAGGCGATCCCTCGTTGTCTGAGTAGGATTGTCTTCCAAGATCGGTGTACTAGTGGGGGGGGGGGTCCGTAGGTGACTGTGGAGCCCTATTCTTGAACTGCATGTTCTCCCGCAGTGAAGTCATTGGATTCCAGGTGGAAGGTGGTCCCAGTCGGGGTTGGCTTGACATGCCTTCCTCTTGGCACATTTCTTTCTTTCACCCTCCATTTGTGCCTCTTCAAATTCCACAGCACTGCTGGTCACAGCTGATCTCCAGCTGGAGCACTCAAGGGCTAGGGCTTCCCAGTTCTCAGTGTTTATGCCAGAGTTTTTAAGGTTGGCTTTGAGCCCATCTTTAAATATCTTTTCCTGCCCACCAACATTTTTTTTGTTCTTGAGTTTGGAGTAGAACATCTGCTTTGGGCATCCGGACAACGTGGCCAGTACAGCGGAGTTGATGGTGGATGACCATAACTTCAGTGCTGGTGGTCTTTGCTTTTTCCAGCACGCTGACATTTGTCCGCTGGTCTTCCCAAGAGATTTGCAGGATTTTTTAGAGGCAACACTGATGGAATCGTTCTAGGAGTTGCATGTGACATCTGTTGACAGTCCACGTCTTGCAGGTATATAGCAGGGTTGGGATGACAATAGCTTTATAAAAAAGCACCTTGGTCTCCCTACGGATGTCCTGGTCCTCAAATCATCTCTGCTTCATTTGGAAGATGCCCTTCACCATGTCCCTGTCATGGAAATAACCCTCCTTTATGATATGGGAAGGGGAATGGAATAACCAGTGAAAAGATGAAATTGTTTCCCTTCCTCAACTTTCTCCCCTGTAAAATGGACTATCCTCCTCTCTCTAGTGCCACCTAGTGCCACCTCTGCCCAGATAAAGGAACAGTATGTAATAATCAAAAGAGATCTTAATACAGTCATTCAAGAAGGGAAAAAAAAGAAGAAAAAAGATGAGCTGGATGACTACAACTTTCAATTGATTGGGGCTTGCATGCTGGTCGCTTCTGGTCGAAATGTAATATAATGGACTGGTTGCTCTGACATGACAAATAAATTGATTTGGGGGATGATGGGAGTTGTAGTCCCAACTATGCTGCAGGTCAACATCTTGGGAGAAGTTTATTGAATTCTTTTGTTTCCTGCCTTAATAGGATCATGAAACAATTTGCTGAGAACTGGTGCCACACCAAAATGCAAACCCATCGTGGAAATTGTACTCTCAGGCCCCTTCTACACTGCTATATACTCCAGATTATCAAAGCATATCGTTCACATTATATGAGTTTACACTACCATATAATCCAGTTTAAAGAAGACAATTTGGATTTTATGTGGCAATGTAGAAGGGGCCTTACAAGCTCTTCAGTCTTCTCTGCCAAAGAGTTCTCACCAAGCTACGACTCCCATGCCATATAATGCGGTTTCTGCATTATATAGCAGTGGAGATAGGGCAGGCATGGACAAATTTTGGCCCTCCAGGAGTTTTAGACTCCAACTCCCACAATTCCTAACAGCCTCAGGACCTTTCCTGAGGCCCACAAGAATGGGCCTGAGGTTGTTAGGAATTGTGGGAGTTGGAGTCCAAAACACTTGGAGGGCCCAAGTTTGCCCATGTCTGAGATAGTGGCTCTCCGTTCTCCATGATTGCCTGGCAAGTGGAGCAGGAAAAACCGGTTCAAGGCCTGGGCAAAATAGGCCCGAGGAGAGGCAATCAATAAAAAAGAAGGCCGTCATGGCCCGGTATTTGTTTGGTGTCAGAGTGAGCGAGTCAGTGCTAGTTGCCGACAGTAACTTAAAAGGAAACTTTGGAGTCGAGGGAGGAAGAAGCTGAAACAACTGGAATTATTAGATCTTATTTGAATGGGAAATGGCTTGTTTTGCTTTGTTCAATATTACAGAGTCATGAGGATTAGAGTTTGGCAAAGCACCAGCACTTTGACAGAGAAGGCTAAAGACATCATAAAACTACAATTCCCATTGAGCCATGTTGACTAAAGTGGTGTGAAACTGTATTACTTCTAAGGTGTAGCTGCACCTTATATTACTTCTAAATTCCTTGGTGCATCTACACCTTTTCATCACTTTAACTGCCATGGCTTGTTGTTGTAGAATCCCAGGAGTTGTAGTTTCAGAAGATCTGTAGCCTCCTCAGCCAAAGAGAGTCAATTACGAATCCCAGAGTTCTATAGCAGGGTGTCAAACTATATCAGTTCTATGGTGCAGATGCAAGCTTTTTGTGTCTATTTGAAAGATCTCTGAAGGACAGGCCACCATTCTCCAATGCAGTCTATTCCATTGTCAAACAGCTCTTACAATAAAGAAGTTCTTCCTAACACAGAATCTCTTTTCTTGCAATTGGAATCTACTGGATTGGGTTCTAGTTTCTGGAGCAGCAGAAAACAGGCTTGCTCCATCTTGTACAAAACATCCTAGCCATTTGAGAAAGATGGGATATATATCTAATACAAACAAATACAAATGTCAATAGAAAGATAATAAATGATTTTAAACTGCTCCACCCAATGGCAATATTTGCAGTGTTGGGAAGGGCAAAATTTGTGCACTATGATTTATGCCAAATATTTTTCCCTCCCCTTTCCTCTCTGTGTTTCAGTAAGATTGCTATTTCCTCGGGACAGACTTCCTCTAATTGTCTTTGCCCACCATTTGACACAATAGTCTGTGTGTTTGTAACACAAGTACAAACTCATCACGATTACATTTCTCTTCTGAGAGCAGCAAGTTCTGTTTAAATTGAGGAATGAAACAGATAAGATATTGGCAATGCAATTTACCCAAATTCTTAACTATATTTGTACGTATTTCCACCTCTGACCATTTAAGACAGTGGTTCTCAACCTGTGGGTCCCCAGATGTTTTGGCCTTCAACTCCCAGAAATCCTAACAGCTGGTAAGCTGGCTGGAATTTCTGGGAGTTGTAGGCCAAAACACCTGGGGACCCACAGGTTGGAACCCCTGATTTAAGATAAAGAATCACATGAAACTTTCTTGCCACAGCTGGGAACCATGGAAATGGTTAACATCTTAAATGTTTTGTCGAAAGCTTCCATGGCCGGATTCACTGGGTTGCTGTGAGTTTTCCAGGCTATATGGCCATATTCCAGAAGCATTCTCTCCTGACGTTTTGCTCCCATCTACAGCAGGCATCTTCAAAGGTTGTGAGGTCTGTTGGAAACTAGGCAAGTGAGGTTTATATATCTGTGGAATGACCAGGGTTGGAGAAGGAACTCTTATCTGTTTGAGGCAAGTCTGAATGTTGCAATTAACCAGCTTGAATGTTGGCTAGAAAATGAGTTTCAAAGCACCGTCTCCAATTGCTGATTTAGACATAAAATGATTTATAAAAACAAGGGCTGCAAAAAAATTCTGCATAGAATTCTTCTGATCAAGAATTAAGCCAGTCATGCCATCTCCCAGGAAAACTCCATTTCCCTTTAGTTTTGTTGATTTCTATTCAACAGGAAGTCAGCAATACATGACTATGGGAAAGACTCCGTCTTAATTGGCTCTTTGTGTCCCTCCTACAAATTTTCATATACAGTACCAACTTTGAGATTTTCCGCAGCCTTGTGGCTCTTTTTTAGATGTAGGTGGTGCTCTTTTTAGCTAATTAAGCTTTCCACCTTTAGGAAAAAGGTGATGTCAGACCTCTTTTAAATAATTCTTGTCAACAAACCACTGAGATAGATTTGCCTTAGGGTCCCCATAAGTCAGAAACGACTGGAAAGTGCATAACAATAGGAAGTGAAGAGACTGAAAGCACATCCTGATTAACTAGATAGGGTACTACATTCATATGTTTTTAATATTATTCATGTGTGCCTTCCAAGTTATTTCTGTCTTATGGTATCCTGTCATGTATTTTCTTTCCAAGAGTTGTTCAGAGTTGTTCAGATCTTGAAGTCTTTGTGGACAACACTTAAACATTAGCCAACAATGTCATGCGGTGGCTAAAAGTCAATGCGATTTTGGCCTGCATATATAGGAGCATAGTGTCTAGATCCAGAGAAGTCATGTTACCCCTCTATTTTGCCTTGGTCAGACCACACCGGGAATACTGTGTCCAATTCTAGGTACTGCAGTTGAAGGGAGATGTTGACAAGCTGTAATGTGTCCAGAGGAGGGCGACTAAAATGATCAACTGTCTGGAGAACAAGCTCTATGAGGAGTGGCTTAAAGAGCTGGACATATTTAGCCTGCAGAAGAGAAGGCTGAGAGGAGGCATGATGGCCATGTATAAATATGTGAGGGGACATCATAGGGAGGAGGGAGCACGCTTGCTTTCTGCTGTGCTGGAGACTAGGGCAGGGAACAATGGCTTTAAACTACAGGAAAGGAGGTTCCACTTGAACATTAGGAAGAACTTCCTAACTGTGAGAACTATACAGCAGTGGAACTCTCTGCCTTGGAGTGTGGTAGAAGCTCCTTCTTCGGAGGCTTTTAAAAAGAGGCTAGATGGCCATCTGTCAGGGGCGCTTTTTATGCGATTTTCCTGCTTCTTGGCATGGGGTTGGACTGGATGGCCCATGAGGTCTCTTCTAACTTCCAACTTTTAGAGGCATTGGCTGTGCCTTCCTCTGAGGTCACCCAAGATGTGCATAACTGAGCAAGGATTTGAACCCCGGTCTCTAGTTGTAATCGAACACTCAAACTATTACACCAGACTGTCATTCTGCGTTTAAGACAGGAATGGATAAATACGAACTTACAGGATGTTTGTTGTTTTCTCTTTATTTACTAGATCCCTAGGATCCACTAGGTGACACAAACATATATCTTAAGAATCCATAGACCATATCTGAACATTAGTCACTGTTCTTCCAGAGAAAAATGTGCGTTTTTTCATCTCAGCAATGTTTAGGTCATAAGCAAATGTCCTTCTGGTAATGCTTTTGTTAAACAATTACTGGAAATAATTGCTGATCTATTAGTAGATGCTGATCAACTTTCTGTCTATCTCTGCTTCTCATAAACTATACCAGAGAATATATTTTAAGTAGTGTATTCTCATCACTAATCTTCTAAAGTGGGAAATTACTATTGGATTTTGAGAGAAAGAGGGTTGCTTCCCTATTGTCTTTGATCACGTTTTAAAAAGTCTTGAGAAATGGTGGGAAGAAATAGCAGAGGCTTTCAGTGTTTAAAGTTGGATATGCAGACTGAGTAGTTGCTACCTTTTAAAAAGCCTTTAAAAGCTAAATTAGTCTGCGCCTTAAGCCGTTCTTTTGCCTTTCCTAATCTTAAATAGCAGGACACCAATATCTGATTTTCCTAAAGTGAAACAAAGAAAAAAATGGGGTATTCACATCTTGTTCCTACTTTGCTTTGCCTCACAATAACAAGTTGGGGGAAGGATCTTGAATTTTTGTTGAACTTTGCACTGCACAGAGAGACGTTTAAATATCAAACAAGCACCGACATGATTAGAGCCCTGGCAAAGATTGGAAAATAAGTTTGCAAAGGAAAAAAGCTCTGTAGATCAAGCGTTCAGCTGAACACTTTTGCAAATCTACTTTCTTAAAAGCTAAAATTAATCTGCTCTGAATAGAGCAAGAATCTTAAGATTCATATATAAGTATAGAAAGATCCTATACCAGGTTTTTCTTCAGTGAAATAGTTTAACGCAATCACTATCACGGGCATTTCATGTGAAAGTCTTGTTGCAGTGATTTGTTTTTAGTTTACCCCTTCCAGAACTAGATTTCTCGTATGCCTCACTGCCATTATTGTTCAATCTTATGGAAATTACAATTAGAATAGTGGCATTTCAACAGTTGAGTCAGATTTTCTGAAAAAAGTCTGAGATTTTATGGACAGAGATCCACCTTATATAGGTTAGGCCAGGGGTCCTCAAACTACGGCCCAGGGGCCGGATATGGCCCTCCAAGGTCATTTACCCGGCCCTCGCTCAGGGTCAACCTAAGTCTGAAACTACTTGAAATCGCACAACAACAACAATAATCCTATCTCATCAGCCAAAAGCAGGCCCACACTTCCCATTGATAAGTTTATATTTGTTTAAATTGTTCTTCATTTTAATTATTGTATTGTTTTAAAGTGTTTTTTTGCACTACAAATAAGATATGTGCAGTGTGCATAGGAATTCATTAATTTTTTTCAAATTATAATCCAGCCCTCCAGCAGTTTGAGAGACTGTGATCAGGCCCTCTGTTCAAAAGGTTCGAGGACCCCTGGGTTAGGCTTTATATGTTTTTTCTGCCTATTGTTGGATGTTTAGTAGAGTTGTGTGTGGAATTAGTTCCTACTGTTCCTACAATTTCTTTTGTGTCTTCAGTTTTTTCAAGAGCACGGAACTGGAAGCCCCCTCCCTTCATGAAAATCTGCTTTACATGAAAGCCTGATTTTGTCTGCAGCCGAACTTGCCTCCTTGCCTTGAAAAGAGAATGCAGGTGTGGAGGTGCATGCAGGCAGGCCCGGTGCATACCTGTAGCCGAGCGCCTCTTAGAATAAAAGGCACTCGGCTGCAGGTACTTGGGTGCACGTGTTTTCCGGACCTGTCTGCATGCCACACCACACATGCACTCTTTTTCCAAGTATAGTGCGTGTGTGGCGTGCAGGCAGGCCCGGAAAGCATGAGTGCCTCTCACTCTACAGTAGAAACAGCAGGTGCCAGGTAAAGCATGCACTGGGAAGGGGAGCCAGTGGCTGGGAATGGTCTAATTTTGGGGCCCCCAAAACAAATATCTACCTTCTTGAGTTTGAGAAGCTTCCAAAAAACAGATTGGGGCCCCCAGCAAAAGCCAGGACACAAAACGGGGCAAGATTTACCCCAAAAGCATAACCCTAAAGTTTAATGGTATTACTGCCTGTCCTGTAATTTTGGGGGTACAAAACTTCTGGGCATAGAAGTTAGTGTACCTACCCTATCCCTTTCATCCACTGCACACAGTAAAGGTAAATCCAGTCATGTCCGACTCCGGGGGGTGGTGCTCATCTCCATTTCTAAGCCGAAGAGCTGTTTGTTTGTAGACACCTCCATGATCATGTGGCTGACATGACTGCATGGAGTACTGTTACCCTCCCGCCGGAGCGGTATCTATTGATCTACTCACATTTGCATGTTTTCGAACTGCTAGGTTGGCAGAAGCTGGGGCTGACAGTGGAAGTTCACGCCGCTCCCCGGATTCGAACCTGCAGCCTTTCGATCAACAAGCTTAGCAGCTCAGTGGTTTAACCAACTGTGGCACCTGGGGCTCCATCCACTGCACATACACCCCTGAAAATCTGCTTCTGAAGGTTGAGAGAATTTGTGGAATAGTATAGGATATTTTCTTAATTTCTGTGCAGTCTCCTGTATCATCGCACACAGAACAATCATGTCAAGGGGATGCTGGGGCACTAGGAAGCTTCTCTGTTGCTCCCTTCCTTTCTAACATGCCCGATATCATTCCCCATCTTGAATGAAAGGAGAGCTCTAAAAGCCAGGCTATTTTGCTTAAAATGATTTCAGCAATGTACTGAATAAATCAAAACACTGCATTAACCACGAGCTGCTAATCCAACCATTCTTTCAAGAGGTTCCCTATTAGTCCAGTAATGCCCAAAATCAACAATAATGAAATCTTTCTCTTCATAGTATCCCAACCACAAGGTTTTAACTGTTCAGTAGGACTGGTACTCACTGCATTTGCCGACAAGCCCAATATAAACACAGCTTCTATAAGCAGACTTTCATATGGTGGAAATGGTTTTCATCATCATAATCTCCGCAGTTTACATAAATCAAGCTTGATTTTTCAGTTAAATCTCCAATTAAAGGAGAATAGTTGATACAACCAGAGATTAGTTCTTCCAAAAGACAGTGGGCTAACTGTTAATACTCATTCCCAATTCAGAGGTTAGGAGGAAAAAAGGTACATCACAAACAAAAGAAAAAATGGGAACATGTGAGGAAAAATACTTCAATATTGTTCCATTAATAAAAATGACCTTCATCAAGTGTTTTAAAAAAATTCAAGTTATATTGACATCCAAAAATTGGAGCGAAACAGACCATGGAACAAATTTCAAAGTTTTTAAATTTCTGAGATATTATCAAGTATGTTCATGTCCCGCACATGCTAAAGTTGATAAGTCCAATTTGGTTTTGAATGCAAATGAAAGTTCCTTTGCCAGTAGTTCATGAAGTGAAATGCCGTCATGAGAATACACCCATTTTTTCCCAGTCCAGTCGTAACGCTTTGGGCCGCTGTGAAAGAATAAGAACAGAGTAAAAATGTAAACATCTGCAAAATGTGGCAGAAGGGTATTTACATTGAAGACCTGCATTATATAGAAGTATAGAGGAATTCTGCCTAAAAGGGAAGACTAGGAAACTGAGAAGATACACAACATTTAATTTTTTTCTATTTATTGATGCATCCATTCAATTAACAAACTTTTGCCATACAAAACTTATCTCGATTTACATTATTCCAAAAATCAGTTTACCTTATATGACACTTCATACATTTCTTATATGTGTATCTTGTACTACCCATTCCCCTCCCCATTTCCCCCCTCCTTCCTGGAACAGCAATTCCAAATGATATCATTGCATCAATTTAACTGTGTGGAAAGCATGGCTCAAGCTGCTAGATCTATCATCTCCATCTATTTTATCGGTTAGAATAGACAGTTTTCTATACCAGTCTTGTTTTGGATGACTATTTATATACCTGTCTTTCCTTTGATTAATAAAATCATCTATATACATAAAAATGTAATGTTCGTTTGTGGGATTAACATAACTCAAAAACCACTGGACCAATTGACACCACATTTGGACACAATACACCTACCAGGCCAACAAGTGACCATAACTCATAAAACACTGAAAAACACAGCGGAAGAGACTTTAAAAGCCAAAAGAATAAAAAATACATTACAACGCATGCGCAAAACCACACACACATATATATACAAACACACACTTTCCATTTAATTATTTTATCTAGTGGGATTTCTCTATCTCTCTACTGGATGGGCCTAACCACGCTATCCAGTTCCCTTGTCCGCCTTTGTCTTTTATCTTGTCCCAGTTTGTTATTTCTCCATTCACTACATTTCTTTAGATTTAGATAAACAGAATACTTTAACATTGGTTGAATTTAGAGAGTCCTCAAAGACACTATGTTCATGTTGTCCCTCTTGACACACAAGTATATTTAACATTTTTTTCTGGTACAATGAAATTAAAACTTGCTGTTTGGCTCAAACTGGGAACTTATGGTTTGAATGAGCCATCCAAAGCAAATTGTAAGCTGCTACTTGATTTTAAGGAACAGTCTTGCTGTTTGTTCAATCAAACCACAACTTAATGTTCCAGGCATGTTCACATGTAGGGAGTACAGTAGATCTATTTTTACATTAAAAAGACCAAATTGGAGGTAAGCAAAATCTACTCTTCCTCTAGTTCACCTTAGTATAACGTACTATTTAATTTTTTTTCTTGTGTCAGAAGCAACTTGAAAAACTGCAAGTCGCTTCTGGTGTGAGAGAATTGACCGTCTGCAAAGACGTTGCCTAGGGGAGACCTGAATATGTTACCATCCTGTTGGAGGCTTCTCTCATGTCTGCGCATGAGAAGCTGGAGCTGACAGATGGGAGCTCACCCTGTCTTGCGGATTTGAACTGCCAACTTTCACATCAGCACCTGGCACAAGGGTTTAATCCATTGCACCACCGTGGCTCCTACTGTTTTTAAAATGAGCCCTCTCCAACCTGGCTGATGTTTCAGAAAATGCTTCTAGAGATGCTGGGACTACAACCTCCATCACACTCAACTATCATAGCTATGCTGTTCAGCAATGGTGGGAACTATAGTTCAGTATATGTGAAATGTGCTAGGTTGGAAAGTCTGCCTTAAGCAGTCTTCTCTTGGATCACATCCCATAATGGTACTAAGCTGGAGGGGAAAATGAAAAAGGAGTAATGTAAGCTCAAGTTGAAGAGAGTGGAACAGGTTTTGCTTCCAAAAACATCTCAATTACGTAACAGAATTCCACTCATATTTTACAGACCAACAGAGAACTGCCCCATCATGCTTTGCTTGGCCTTAAGTACCTCTGCTACAGTTTGTGGAAAGGAAGACGAGACTTTGCTCCAGAGGCCAAGACAACCTACAAGCCCTGGCAGGTTACAGCTGATATGTCAAAAAGCAAAAATCTGACTCATAGGTACTTCCTGCTTTCATGTTTCCTATAATGTCAAAAGCTGCTCCAAAACCAGGAGTTTGACAGAAATCTTTAAGAAGCACCAATTTAGAGGTGAAAGAAACCTGCAGTGCCATCCAGTATCAAATAAACCAGTAGTCAAATTCAGCAGGAATTGGTTTCTTACCACAGTGATTTGGTGCTTCTTCCCAACTAGTCTGTAATAATAGACCCTGGTGATTGAGCCTTCTACAACACAGTGACAGAGCACGTTTATTCTACTGTTACACAAGCTCCCTCTGTTGGCCAGAATGAGAACTACATGGGTCCTTTCCTAACTTCCTTTGATTTTAATAAATATAGAAAGTATAGTGATTTGTGTGTTGGAGTTTAACTCAGGACAGCTGGGTTCAATTCCCCACTTGGCTATGGAAATATACTCTCAGCTCCAGAAACCACATTATAGGGTTGCCCTAGGCTAGGGTCTCCATAATTTATAAACACTTGGAAGAAAGTATTGAGCTAGCAATGGCAAATTCTATTTGAGATTTGCTTTAGTTTTTATTTTAGTCCCCCACATTGTTGCCGGATCCACCAATTACTAGACTTACAGTGCACAGAATCGGAGGTACTGCACAGCTGTAAACAGACTTTATTTTACAAAAGCCAAAAAGAACCAAGACAAAACTATTCTAATAAATATTTTGCTGTATTGCTGAAGGCTTTCACTGTTTGAATCACTGGGTTGTTGTAAGTTTTTTTAGGCTATATGGCCATATTCTAGAGGCATTCTCTCCTGACGTTTCACCTGCATCTATGGCAAGCATCCTCAGAGGTTGTGAGGTCAGACTTCTGAGGATGCTTTCCATAGATGCAGGCGAAATGTCAGGAGAAAATGTCTCTAGAACATATATGGCCATATAGCCCGAAAAAACCTACAACAACCCGAATATTTTGCTTTTTACCATCAAGGTAATGTTGGTACCAAAATGTTTCATTTCATTTTCTGATGAACTGTGGACCAGAAAAGCAGAAGTGATGTGTTCTGGTTGCAATTTGGTTGTTTATTATTATTCTTAATATTATTAGTATTTATATCCCATTTTTTCTCTTGCAAAGGAGACTCAAAGCAGCTAACCCTAAAAATCTTAACAATGTGTAAATTGAAACCTTGATTCCCACTTGGGGGAAACACTAATTCTGATTAGGGTCAGGAAAATGTTTATTAAACCTAACCACAACGCTAACTCTTAATACATAATAATTCTCATTTTGGTAAGAAAATACTCCACAGCTCAATCAATGTAAGTTTTTGTTTTATTTATTGTAAAAAAAAAATAGCTGGTACATGAAGCATAATCAATTAGCAGTGGAACATTCTGAAAATCTGATTACCTATTTTGGTAACACAGTTGCAATCAGAAAACACTGTTGATTTTCCACCAGCCTAAAGCATCCCTAAACATATGGTGTCCGCTCAGTTAACACTAGCCCTTTAGCATTAACAGATGCAAATACAAAATGTACTATCTATATTTGGTTTCCAGAATTATATAAACTGTAAAGTTAGTCTTGCATTTTTCATTAAGCAAAAAGCATAAACATGATGGATAGCAGTAGCCTTCTTTAAACAAATGAGGTAGACATAAGGGCATATAATTTATCAGCATATTAGATCTATAATACTATAATAAGTTTAAGCAGGTATCAATAGAGGGCTTGTAAAAGTTAATTTTTGAACCACAACTCTTAACGAGTCATACATATTGTTTTTAGATAATCCAAAGCTTTCAGAAAGTTTTAGGCCATCTAGTGTCAATGCAAAGGACTTCCCAAAAGTTTCACATAAGCAATTCTGAGGAGTGCAAACTAAGCCAGGTTACTACAGTAACTGGAGCGCCGTACAGGGAGATAACTACTTCCATGTTACAGCAACTCCACTTGCTGCTGGTTCGCTTCCAGGCTAAATACAAAGTGCTGGTTATTACCTATAAAGCCCTAAAGCGTTCAGGCCCAGACTATTTGAAAAACCGCATCTCTGCGTACAAACCAGAATGAGCCCTGCGGTCTGAGGGGGAGGCCCTGCTCTTGGTCCCACCTCCATCTCAAGTGTAATTGATGGGATCGAGAGAGGGGGCCTTCTCTGTGGATGTTCCCCTACCTAAAGAACTAAAAATGCCCCCTCCTTTAAAAAGTGTTTAATTTACACTTATTTATGTAATCTAGAGGAGAGGAGAATTAGCATTCCGAAACATATTCTCGCCTAATATTGAACACTTACCTTAGCCTGTTGATGCGATATATTATATTATGTTTTTAATGTATTGTGTTTTAATCAAGTTGACTCCCTGTACTTATTATGTTTATTTAGCTAAACCCTTGGTTTTGGCTGTTTATAAGTTATATTGTGTTTATTTTTTGTTTTGCTGTGATTGTTATTTGTTGAATGTTTGCCACTTTTGTTATTTTTGTAAATTATCTTGAGTCTCTTCGGGGAGAGAGAGCAGGTTATAAAGCTTTATTATTATTATTATTATTATTATTATTATTATTATTATTATTATTATTATGTAAAATCAATGCATTTTAAAGTTGGAGTAGGAGATATTTCAATCCAATTCTTGGTTTTCAGATCATCCCAGTTTCCAGATATATGCTTACCTGTTTGGAGAGGACAGCCATATCTGCTTATTTGGTGTCTGTTTATTGATCACATAGGTTCCCATGTTTCCACCCAGTTTGACTGTTAATACTCCACTCTAGAATAAAAATGGGTAGATACAAAAACATTATTGTTAGCAATCAGCATAATTCATATCATGTATTATATAGTAAAGCAGTGATGAAAATCCACTGGTTGCTTCTAAGCAAGCCCCATGCTCTCAGGCTCATAGGAAGGCGAATCAGCATAATTCATATAATGTATTATATTGCGCTGTTAATGTGACACAAATCAAAATGAGTTACCAGGAACAATGGCAGAACATTTATCCACTGAGTGCAAATCATACTGTGATAGAATAAGATATCAATCACACAGAAAAATATGTGAATTGGAATTTGAAATGTTTCCAGTAGCTCAACATTAGAATATATATATATATATATAATATGTTATTTTGGCTGAGCAGATGTTGATTCCTAGTGAATTTTCAAAAGGCTATTTTATTTCCAGAATAAGAAGTAAGGTTGATTGAATTATGAAATTTCATCCTGAAAAGTCAAATGGTGTCTTCGTCATTTCATCAATTTTCCAAATGTGACACCATGTGGCCAAACCATGCATCTAGTCCATAATATCCATGCTGGAATATCTGAAGAGTGGGTGCTTCCTGGAGAACGGCTCCTAGCACTAACAGTTCAAAGGACTAAGCTATTCTATGCTTCTTTCCTTAATGCAGTGATTCTCAACCTTCCTAATGCCACGACACCCTTAATACAGTTCCTCATGTTGTGGTGACCCCCAACCATAAAATTATTTTCATTGCTACTCCTTGAACTCCTTGAACCCCTCCCCCCCCCCCCCCAACAGCAGAATTGGGCCAAACTTCCCACACAGAACTCCCAAATCCCTCTGATATGCCCATATTTGAATACTGGTGGGGTTGAGGGGGGGGKGGTGGTTGATTTTTTCATTTGGGACTTGTAAAGATAAAGGTTTTTCCCTGACATTAAGTCCAGTCGTGACCGACTCTGGGGTGTGGTGCTCATCTCCATTTCTAAGCCAAAGAGCTGGCGTTGTCTGCAGACATCTCCAAGGTCATGTGTCTGGCATGACTGCATGGAGTGCCGTTACCTTCCCACTGGAGCGGTACCTATTGATCTACTCACATCTGCATATTTTCAAACTGCTAGGTTAGCAGAAGCTGGGGCTGACAGCAGAAGCTCATGCTGCTCCCTGGATTTCAACCTGCGACCTTTCGGTCAACAAGCTCAGCAGCTTGTTGACCGAAAGATTGCAGGTTCGAATTGGGACTTGTAGTTGCTGCCAAAGGGGTTTCTAAGACCATCAGAAAATTGTGTTTTCTGATTATCTTTGGTGACCCCCCCCCCCACCCGAAATCCCCTTTGCAACTCCTCCCCATTTAGAAACTCTTCCTTAATGGCTCTTTGAGATAAAAATTGGGAAAGAAGTAGTAGGAAAACATTAGTAGGTGGAAACTGGCAGCCTGTGATCCCCCTCTATCTGATAAAATCCCATGTTGAAGCAGGATAATGGACTATAAATGCATCGCTTATAAACACCCAATGAATGCAAGAGTGTGCACCCACATATAAACAATGTTTTCCTGGTAAGATTTTTCCAAAGCCTGAATCACAGCTCCACATAAACTGCTGTAATGAAAAAAGTAGAATTGGAAGTTCTGCAGAGGAGCAAAAGCAATAACTTCAAAATGAAAAGGATATGGCATTGAGGAAAGTGACAGATGTGTAGGAGGGAATAAAAGAGGCAAATGGTTTGAGTTGAGTGGCATGTTAAAAGCCTGACATATGGCGAAGAAGCAGCACGGGGAAAGGCAGATGTTGGCCTCAGAGTGTGGTCTTTACATTACAAAAACAATACGGGGAGCCTAAAAGAGCTTCATGAATTCACATGAAATTTCATAAAGTTCCCTCATAAATACTTTTGGGAATCAGGAATGATAGCATGGTCTTAAAAGCTACACTAAATTGTAGCAGTAACACACCTATTGTCAGGAGAAGTTTAAGGTGCTCTGATTTGAGACAGAAATGCCTGCAAATATAATCAATAAAATATAAATTTAAAATACCCCAAAGGACACATCATACTCTTCAGGAGTAAAGGGCTTGTCTGCCAGATCATCAAAGAAATCCATCAATGACTCTAGAGTTTCCTCAGCAAGCTTTTCGTATGTTGTTTCATCTAATGAGCTGTAAAAGTAAAGAGAGCAAACATTAACTTATATTCTGTCCCTCTTTAAAAAAAAGTGAAAGACTCATGCAACATCAGTACTGGAAAACAATATACAAGCTAAATGGAAGATATTTCTCATAAATATTCCAGAAGTTACATTAGGCAAGAAAAAATGTGATCTGCATTGTCCTGACACAGTGAAGACATCTGCCCTTGCGCTTTGCTGCTATGCTGCTGAATGTGCATGCCCAGTGTAGAATGCATCTCACCACATTAAAACAGTGGCTGTGGCTCTTAATGAGACAAGTTGCATTATCACAGGATGTCTACACCCTACACAATTCTAATGCTTAGAAAGGAAGAATTTAAACATATAATTTGCATTTTATTTCCTTACTAGCTGTACCCGCCACGCGTTGCTATGGCCAACCTTCCTTCCCTCTTTCTCTTCTTTCTTTCCTTCTCTCCTTCCTTCCCTCTCTCTTCCCTTTTTTTTCTTTTCTTCTCTCCTTCCTTACTTCTTTACCTCTTTCCATGATTTACCTAGGTTTTTCTTTCTCTCCTTTCTTCCTTCTCTACCTCCTTCCTTTGCTACATCTTTCTTTCCTTCCTTCCTTCTCTCTTTTGTATTGTCGAAGGCTTTCATGGCTGGAATCACTAGGTTCTTGTGGGTTTTTTCGGGCTATAGAGCCATGTTCTAGAGGCATTTCTCCTGACGTTTCGCCTGCATCTATGGCAAGCATCCTCAGAGGTGTGAGGTTTTCTCTCTTTTCTTCTTTACTTCTCTTCCTCTTTCTCTCCTTCTTTCCTTCTCTCCTTCCTTCCCTCCCTTTTTCCTTCCCTGACAGCGGATGAGGCTCCCCCCCCCCCCCCTCACTGGACCCACCATTGTACCATCCATTCCTAGCCCCTGCTCTGGCCGGAAGAGGGAGGATGGTCGACAGTGCCTTTCGTGCTTGCTCTGTCCTTGTGCAGGAGGGGGTGGAGCCATAGAATTTACATGCACTGTGTCGTCTTCTACCTTTTTTGGATTTTAAAGTTCTTTCTGCTGGGTTTTTTTTTTTGTGATTTTTTTCAGTGATGGTCACCCCTTGGGTTAGTAGGTGTCTTGTGGCCAAGTTTGGTGTCATTTCGTTCAGTGATTTTTGAGTTATGTGTGTCCCACAAATGAACATTTTACACACACACATATAGACTAGCCATCCCCTGCCACGCGTTGCTGTGGCCCAATCTGTGTATATGTGTTTTGTGTGGGTATATATGTGTGTGTATATATTTGTGTATATGTGTATATGTGGTTTTGCACATGCATTGTAATGTATTTTTTATTTTTTTGGCTTTTTAAGTCTCTTGTGCTATGTTTTTCAGTGTTTTTATGAGTGATGATCACCCGTTGGCCTGATACATGTATTGTGTCCAAATTTGGTGTCGAGCTGTCCAACAGTTTTTTAGTTAATGTAATCCCACAAATGAACATTACATTTTTATTTATATAGATTGTGAGCATGCGGGTTTCAGGAGTTTGTCCTCCTTTCAACTTTCTCCTGCCTCTTTTCATTTGCTCTGGAGGTTTCCCCAAAACCAGATGTTGAAGGTGCATCAGCAGAAGAACGAATTGGGATTCTCACTATAACCACTCCTTTTAGCAACTAATGTCCAACAAATCTACAATAGGGCTGGCTATAGTTTGTTTTTCCACTAAAATTTTCAGTGTTCATTTCGGATCATCTGACATCAATGTGTATTGATTTATGTTTGGGAAATTAATTATTAATAATTACTAAGCGGTCAATTCTGTAAGCAACTCACCTTTTGTCAATGAGAGTCCCTGCAAGTCTTACACCTATAAGCTGAATGTGCTTGGCTTTCGCCATCAGAAAAGAGTCCAAAGATCGTGAAGAAGAATCCTGTGAAGAGACCAGTTTTCAACTACTTTAATGAAAGGACATTATACTCTCCAGCAGATACTCAGTGCAAGTGTTATCAAGGTTTTCCACAACTTGTGCAGTCTTGTTTAAAAGGGTCTGGCCAAATATTATGATGGATAAATCATTGTGATTAATAATGCTTTTGAATAACAATAATAGTTATGGTCTTTCTAGAAAGGCACGCACTATTCCACTCCTATCAGACAAACAAAATCCCTCTTTGCAAACTCCCTTCGTATCCTAACTGAACCCAATACCACTTGAATTGGCTTTTTGTCAAAAGCTCTGATAATATATTAACTTGCTTGCTCAAAGTGATCTGTCTTAGAAAGATGAGTGACCGCCATGATAAGAGAGATGGAAACACGCCTTGAAAACTATCACATTCTTGATATTTCACAGCTGAAATTTGTTCCTACATCTTATTCATTTTTCCTTTTGTAATTTTGGGAGGGGGGGGAGGGGGTGCTATGTAGTACAGTATCTCAGCAAGATGAAGAAACTCTTTTTCCTTAAGAACACCAAAGAGAATATTCACACTAATTAATCAGGGATAAAATTCTAGGTTGTAATTTAAATTAGAAATTTGTCTTATTTCCTCCATCATTCCCCCAAAACCCACGTTTACTTGTGCTTCTCCCCAAAAGGGCCATTGTGAGAAAGCTATGGGACAATCTACACCAGGGGTCCTCAAACTAAGGCCTGGGGGCCGAATACGGCCCTCCAAGGTCATTTAACTGGCCCTCGCTCAGGGTAAACGTAAGTCTGAAATGACTTGAAAGCACACAACAACAACAACAACAACAACAACAATCCTATCTCATCAGCCAAAAGCAGGCCCACACTTCCCACTGAAATATTAATGTTTATATTTGTTAAAATTGTTCTTATTTTAATTGTTGTATTGTTTTTGCACTACAAATAAGGTATGTGTAGTGTGCATAGGAATTCATTCATGCTTTCTTCGAATTATAATCTGGCCCTCCAACAGTTTGAGGGACTGTGACCTGGCCCTCTGTTTAAAAAGTTTGAGGACGCCTGATCTACCCTCTCTTAGAAAACAGGAAAGGTGGCATTAAAATGCCTAACATTTCTCTGCTACCACCATTCAACACAGGCTATACACACACATACACACAAACACACATACACACACACACATATAATTTTATTTGTTACCCACTTCTCACAGCTCAAAGTATTATTACTGTATTTATAATTATTATTTGCAGTACTTATATTCTGCCCTTCTCATCCCGAAGGGGACTCAGGGCGGATCACAGAACACATATACAGCAAACATGCAATGCTGATTATACAATAACAAGACAGACAACAGAGAGAGGAAAATATAGGCTTTTTCTCATCATTCAGCATCTTTTTGAGGCTGTGCTTGGTTCCGGCCACAGGGGGGTGCTGTTGCTCCATCTCCTTGCCAAAGAGCTTTCTTTGTTGGTAAACTTTCCTCTGAAAGCCTGCCTAAAATACCTCTCAGCTTAATGTAGTTCCTATTCAAAATGCCTCTCCTCTCCTATTCAACTACTCACATCACTGTTTTCTATCTGCTAGGTGGGCGGGCAGCTGGGATGAAGGTTAGGAGCTCACCTTGACCCGGCTTCAAATTGTCAACCTTTCAGTTGGCAAGATTTACTGCGGCTGCAGCTGGTGATTAACCTGCTATTCTAAAGCCAGCCCTTTAGAGTACCACACAGTTCCAGATAAAATGTAATACTATAAAATATATATTAAAATACATAATACAAAGGTTAAAATACAATGCGAATAGAATGTAAGTGGCTATATATGTGAAAAAGGAAGTGCAGCATGTTTTAAAAAAAGGGTTTGGGGCAGAGTGTCATAATTGTATGTGACTGGCCGGGAATTCTGGCATCAGCAGCAACAACAAAAGACTTATGCAAAAGTTGGACTTCTGTTCACATCATAACAGGATGCCAATCAAAATGTCAACATTGTCATTTTAAGCCACGTAGCTCAAGTGCATCAATACTACAATGTAGACACACCATGGGATCATGGGAATTATAGTTTGGTGAGGCACCAGAACTCCTTTGGCAGAGAAGGCTGAAGACCTTGCAAAACTACAGCTCCCAGGATTCCATAGCCTTAAGCCATGTAGCTCAAGTGCATCAATACTACAATGTAGACACACTATGGGATCATGGGAGTTGTAGTTTGGTGAGGCACTAGCCCTCCTTTGGCAGAGAATGCTGAAGACTACAGCTCCCGGGATTCCATAGCTTTGAGCCACGCAGCTCAAGTGCATCAATACTACAATGTAGACACACCATGGGATCACGGGAGTTGTAGTGTGGTGAGGTACCAGCCCTCCTTTGGCAGAGAAGGCTGCAGATCTTCCAAAACTACAACTCCCAGGATTCCATTGCCTTGAGTCACATAGCTCAAGTGCATCAATACTACAATGTAGAAACACTATGGGATCATGGGAGTTGCAGTTTGATGAGGCACCAGAACTCTTTTGACAGAGAAGGCTGTAGACCTTGCAAAACTACAACTCCCAGGATTCCATAGTTTTGAGACATGTAGCTCAAGTGCATCAATACAATGTAGAAACACTATGGGATCATGGGAGTTGTAGTTTGGTGAGACACCAGCACTGTTTTGGCAGAGAAGGCTGAAGACCTTGCAAAACTACAGCTCCCAGGATTCTATAGCCTTGAGTCCGCCTGCAAGCTCCTTTCCTCCCTCCTTCCCTCCCAAAGAGGCACTTAATGGGAGCCTCTGCCCCTTTGCTCGCTCACCTTTTGCTGCTTGGGTTGGAAAGGTGAGGAGGAGGAGGAGGCGGGGGTCCTTCTCCCGGGGCCCCCAATGGCTCTGCAGCCTGCGACCCTCCTCCATGCAGCCAGAGGGACCGCAGCTGCTCGGGGCCTCCACATGCTGGAACCAGGCGCCCGGGGAAAAGCCCTGCCTCCTCCCGCAGTGACGCCAGACAAGCGACAGAAGAGGAGGAGAAAAAAAAGTAAACATCGCCAGGTGCGCTGCTGCCCCCAAGTGGCCACGCGATGCACTGCAGGGCCTGGTTGGTGTTTCCTTGGCAAGATGTTGCTCAGAGGGTTTTTTTTTTTTTTTTGCCTTGGCTTTTTACAGTGCTTTTACAGCAGTGTTTCTCAACCTTCCTAATGCCACAACCCCTTAATACAGTTCCTCATGTTGTGGTGATCCCCAACCATAACATTATTTCTGTTGCTACTTCATAGCTGTAATTTTGCCACTGTTATGAATTTGAATGTCAATATCTGTTATGCAGGATGTATTTTCATTCACTGGACCAAATTTGGCACACGTACCCAATACGCCCAAATTTGAATACTGGTGGGGGGTTTTGTTGGGGAGGGGTTGATTTTGTCATTTGGGAGTTGTAGTTCACCTACAATCAAATAGCATTCTGAACTCCATCAACAATGGAATCGAACCAAACTTGGCACACAGAACTCCCATGACCAAGAGAAAACAATGTAAGGGTTTGGTGGGCATTGAGTTTTGGAGTTGTAGTTCACCTATATCCAGAGAGCACTGTGGACCCAAGCAATGTAGATTTGGACCAATCTTGGCATGGATACTCAATATGCCCAAATGTGAACACTGGTGGAGTTTGGGGAAAATAGACCTTGACATTTGGGAGTTGTAGTTCCTGAGATTTATAGTTCTCCTACAATCAAAGAGAATTCTGAACTCCACCAACAATGGAATCGAACCAAACTTGGCACACAGAACTCCCATGACCAAGAGAAAACAGTGTAAGGGTTTGGTGGGCATTGACCTTGAGTTTTGGAGTTGCAGTTCACCTACATCCAGAGACCACTGTGGACTCAAGTAATGGTAGATATGGACCAAACTTGGCACGGATACTCAATATGCCCAAATATGAACACTGGTGGAGTTTGGGGGAAATAGACCTTAATATTTGGGAGTTGTAGTTCCTGCGATTTATAGTTCTCCTACAATCAAAGAGCATTCTGAACCCCACCAATGATAGAACTAGGCCAAACTCCCCTCACAGAAACCCCATGACCAACTTTCTGGTGGTCTTTGACGACCCCTCTGACACCCCCTCGTGGCCCTCCCAGGGGCCCCGATCCCCAGGTTGAGAAACGCTGTTTTACAGGATGGGCTAAAAGCCACCAAGGTCTTTTAATATTTAATACCTCCCTTGTTTTTAACTTGCAGTACCACGGCATCAGATACAGTATATGGAGGAAATAAAATGACAATGCAATAACACTATGTAACAAATTTGAAAAACTTTCTGTCCCTAGGTTGCTGTGAGTTTTCTGGCCTGTATGGCCAGAAGCATTCTCTCCTGACATTTCACCTACATCTATGGCAGGCATCCCCAGAGGTTGTGAGGTCTGTTGGAAACTAGGCAAGTGAGGTTTATATATCTGTGGAATAATGTTCAGGGTGGGAGAAAGAACTCTTGTCTGCTTGAGGCAAGTGTGAATGTTGCAATTGGCCACCTTGATTAGCATTGAATGGCCTTGCAGCTTCAAAGCCTGGCTGCTTCCTGCCTGGGGGAATTCTTTGTTGGGTGGTGTTAGCTGGCCCTGATTGTTTCCTGTCTAGAATTCCCGTTTTGTGAGTGTTGTTTTTTTTATTTACTGTCCTGATTTTAGAGTTTTTAACTACTGGTAGCCAAATATTGTTCATTTTCATGGTTTCCCCGTGGTTGTTAGAGTGGTCCAGCATTTCTGTGTTCTCAAATAATATGCTGTGTCCGGGTTGGTTCATCAAGTGCTCTGCTATGGCTGACTTCTCAGGCTGATTTAGTCTGCAGTATCTTTTGTGTGCCTTGATTCGTGTTTGGGCAATGCTTGCGTTTGGTGGTCCCTATGGAGACTTGTCCACAGCTGCATGTTATACAGTAGACTTCAGCAGAGGTGGGAGGATCCCTCTTGTCCTTTGATGAACATAGCATTTGTTGGATTTTCTTAGTGAGTCTGTAGATAGTTTGTAGGTAGTGTTTCTTCATCAGCTTCCCTATGTGGCTAGTGGTTCCTAGTTTGAGAGTGTTACTTCCTCTTTAATTGTGCAGTACTTACTGGTACTTTGAAAGAAGTTGTTATACTCCAGAAACTTCTGTTTTTGTGGCTGCCACTTTTAACTTTTTATATGCTATCTTTAACCTTCTATACAAACATGGAACAAATTTATTAACCCTTTTCCATGTTTTTGTGATAGAAGCCATTAGGAATGCCATAAAAATAACATTATTTTTTGTTATTTTTAATTATTTAAAACTTCCCATAAGAAAAGATAACTGTATGTAAGAAACTAGGACTGACATGGTCAGTCCAATGCAATGTTCCTGAATCAGCACCCCAAATAACTCCAGAAGCAGGCCTAAAACTAAGATGCCAATAATGTTTTGGTTGGCTCTTCAATTGTTAACGCTTTCCAGTGCATTTGTTGTAAATTCCAAACATCCAAATACAGGGAACAGTTCAGAGTTCATCATTATAGCACTATGATCCCACTTAAACTGCTATGGTTTCATCCTAAAGACCCGTTCTACACAGTACATAACGTTCTCCACAAGAGAAGTATCTATCCCAGTATTTCATGGGATCCAGCCCTGGCAGTTAAAGGGGACTCATGGTGCTATTAATTGCGGGTGCATCTACACTGCAGATTGAATGCAGTTTTGGCACCACTCAAAATAGAATCACAGTAGTAGTAGTTTCACAAGGTCTTTAGCCTTCTCTACCAAAGAGAGCTGGTGCCTCACCAAACTACAACTCCCAGTATTTAATAGCATTGAACTGTGGCAGTTCAAAGGGGTGTCAAAAGTATCAATTCTACAGTGTAGATGCACCATTTGTGGTACAGAAGAGTTATGAATGACAACAACAACAGAACTTACCTTGAAACTAGTTGCTATACTCCAAAAACTTTGTTTTTGTGGCTGCCACAAACTCTGTTGAATTGGTTAAGACTCTATGAGACAGTTATTGAAAAACTATAGCAAAATCTTCTTCCTTATGTCTTGCAAAAACAAAGTTTTTGTAGTTTGATAAACTTTTTAAATGCTTTTATGATACAAGCAATTAGAAAATGATGTTTATAATCCAGGCACAAAATCGTATTACATAATGTAATAATTTAAATATCTCTTTAGAAACAAATCATGATTTTCACCTGCTCAACAATATTCTCACCACACTACCTCTGAGGATGCTTGCCATAGATGCAGGTGAAATGTCAGGAGAGAATGCCTCTAGAACATGGCCATACAGCCCAAAAAAACCTACAACAACCCAATATTCTCATTGTAATTGAAGAGAGCACTCTCTCAACCTCAGAGGAAGGCAATGGCAAACCTCTTCTAAACAAACATGGCCAAGAAAAACCTTCAACTTGAAAGTATACAAGAACAATATATGATAAAACACTAAATGCCACAGAATCCAGATCACCTGGAAATGTCAAAATTTCTATTTGCTCACTGAAGAAACCAAACAAAAAGGAACACAGGAAGTGGCCTTACACCGGGTCAGGTTCTCTAAGGTCTGTGCTAAAGTCTTTCCAACTCCATTTGCCATTATATAAACTGGGGCATTTCTGGGGAGACGCGCTGCACACTTTTGAGTCGCCTTTCCCCTTCCACTCCATACAGCTTTTGTATTGGGAGAACAAAGCTGCATCCAGTTGCCTCTTTCTACTTGCAAAACCAGCCGCATTCCTGTAGAACAGCCAATAACACTCTGGATTCAGTGACTCAGTATTAATGGCAGGTTCAGTCCTTCATTTCCTTGTCTGCTTGGTCAAAATATGTGCATTACAATTTACACATAACAGATAGGATTCAGTGGATTGGAAAGGAGGCAGCCAAGCGCCTTTTATTATCTTGTTTTTATGGTTTTGTGGCAGGTAGCAACAGCCTGAGTTTCAAGAAATGAAAGAAATGGAGGGCAGGGAGAATAAATGAAAAAAGACAAGAGTTGGATTTTGTGATAAATAAATTGCGAGGGGGGGGGGGGATCATTCAGAGAATAAGATAATCTAAAGGCAATGAACCAAGTCTGATATTGGAAGCTAAGCAGGGCTAGCCCTGGTTAGTACTTGGGCGGGAGACCACCAATGCATACCAGGTGTTGTAAGCAAGCTACATTTCAGAGAAACTGACAAAACCACTTCTGAGAATCCCTTACCTAAGAAAATCCTTTTAAAAATTTATGGGGTAACTATAAGTCAACAGGTGAGTTGAACATACATACACACATATTGGTGGCTAGCTGTACCCGGCCACGTGTTGCTGTTGCCCAGTCTGGTTAAATGGGAAAGAAACAAAAGAGAAAAAAGTTGGTTTCTAATATATGTAGTTTCATAATGCTTGTGGGTATACAATAATTTTTGTTGTTCCATTGTCTGTGAAATAATAATGGTGTAAATAATAATAATAATACTGGCCTATATAATCTATATAATAATAATAATAGTGAATATAATAGTGATAATAATAGCAATGACACTGGTCTATATAACAATGATCAGTGTGTTTTGGGGAAACCCTTTCCTTTCCTTCCTTCCTATCTATCTGTCCCTTCTTACCATTCAATTCTTCCTTCTGAGCCTCCAGTCTTCCTGCAGGTGCGGGCACGAGGCAATGCCGGGCAGGACATGAGACTATGGGAACCTGGGGCTTGGGCTGAGCCTACCTCCTTGCCAGGCCCTCCTTCCCTCCCTCCCCTAGGCTTGTGCCCCACCCCTCTTCTCAGCCTGGATTTCCCTACTTGCCCCAACACCCTTTTCCCGCTCTTCTTCTCCCGGTTCTGGTCTGGAGGGAGGCAGGCAGGCAGGCAGGCTCGGTGGGAGGTGACCAGGCGACGGATCCCTAATGGTGGCTCTGGCCCTGACGGGATCGTTCATGATATGTTGCTTGAAAGTCCAGCAGATGGCACTGTTTTTGATCCCAAGCGTGTTTTTACCTGTCATAAGTGTGACATCTATATAACAGAAGGTATGTGAATACATAAAAACATATGCCTGTTCGAATGCTACATTGTGTCCAGACTTTGAAGCAATCAGTGAAGTATTTTGGGAGATTTGAGGTCACTCACAAAGTGACATTTGCATTTTTATTTATATAGATGTGGCTGATATGGATTTGAATTGGTTTCCTTACAATATGTGGAAATCCATCCTGTTGAACAGCCATTTAAAATGGGTAAATAATGTTAGCATGTATGTGAGTTTAATGTGGAGAACCCCTGGTGCACCAAATATGGGAATAAAATCTCGTTATTGACCTGAGCATCTTTGGACTAGTACAAACAAATCATTGGATCCACATGGATCCATTATTATTGTTGTTGTTGTTGTTGTTTGCTCAGCAGAGAGGCCCTAGTATCATGTACCTCTCTATACCAGGCTGAATGTGCTATAATTAATTGGGGTGGTGATTTAAAAAATATATATATTAAAAATAAAAACATCCCACTCTACCATAGCTTCTGCCCTGGACAGCACAAACCGGATGAACTACTACTTCACTTTCATACTGATGTCCTTTAAAGATGTATGATAATGAATAAGAACAACCTCAGCGAGTAGAAAAAGTCACATGAAAATAGGATAAATCACTCATGGGGAAACTAATGGTGTACCTACATTGTGTGCCCTCTGGTGGCACAGTGGGTTAAACTGCTGTGCTGATGAACTTACTGAAGGAAAGGTTGGCCATTCAAATCCGGGGAGCGGGGTGAGCTCCTGCTGTTAGCCTCAGCTTCTGACAACCCAGCAGTTCGAAAACTTGCAAATGTGAGTAGATCAATAGGAATCACATTAAAGTGGGGAGGTATTTTAGGCATGGTGTTTTAATAAGAAAAAGGAGGACAGTTTACAAAGAAGGCTCTTAGGCAAGATGGAGTGACAGCACCCTCCTGTGGTCGGAACCGAGCATAGCTTCCAAAGATGCCGAAAGATGAGAAAAGCCTATATATCTGTCACTCTATCTGTTGTCTGTCTTGTCACTGTATAATCAGCATTGAATATTTGCCGTATATCTCTTCTGTGATCCACCATGAATCCCCTTTGGGGTGAGAAGGGCAAAATATAAATACTGTAAGTAAATAAATATTTAGGGAGGAGCATGAGAGAATTTATTCAGGACTACTCACCACACTTATTCTGAGAACAAAATACTTTATTTCTGTCAATAAAACTATAGTTTACAGTAGAATATACTAAATAAATTATGTAATTTTATCATTTACAAGCAATATCTCTAATCACAAATATTTCAAAGACAATATATGTACACAACATAAGGCCTTGTTATAGCTTTTTTCCACTAATAAACAGTGAAAATTTCTTTATAGAAGACAGTTTCCATAAAGTATGTGCAGACGTATTACACTAACCCTCGTGTGAAATTAATAGGTGAGCAATTATAATTCTGGGGGGGGGGGGGGGGGGGGGGGGGAGAGGAAAAGCAGAATTGATTTACATAATAATCACCAGTGTGATGATGGCTTTTTTAAATAGGCAAAGCAGATTAGATACTTTGTTTTGTGCATAATCACCAAGTACATGCAAATGAAAAATCACGTGAGAGTCAATAAGAAAATATCACTTTCATGTCCTGAAAAGATGATTGGCAGCAGTAGAGGAAGCAGCTTAAGATATGATGTATGCGGTTCTTCACAGTTCAGCAGGCAGCAGCACGTCAGAGTAAAGGGTGGAATGTTTCATGTCTCATCCACAAGTCTAAAGGGGCATTTCTAGGGTGCAAGAATCCATCGCCATTTGCCACAGAAGTTCGCTTGATCACATCTTTTCGCTTATGAGGCTCAGCAAATCTTCCTTGCAAATCTGGAGTGCAGAAAGTGCTTTTCTTTACTTCAAATACACTGTTGTTGTTTTTTCTTTCTTTCATGGATTGTTACTGCAAAAGAAAAGAAAAGATTTATGAACACATTTCATCTGAAGTTAATCTGAACAGCATATTTCCTTACCCAAAATGTTGATAGTTTTTTTTTTTTTAAAAAAAGCCTTTATTTTTCTCATAAATTGTTAGTACAGGTTGAGTATCTCTTATCTGGAATTCTGAAATACTCCAAAATATGAAATTGCCTACGTGGCTAAGATAATGACAACTTTGCTTTCTGATTATTCGTTCCAATGTACACAACCTTTGATTCAGACTCAAAATATTATAATATTGTAAACAATTATCCACGGGAGCCCGCGTGACGCAGTGGGTTAAAGCGCTGAGCTGCTGAATTTGCTGACCGAAGGGTTGCAGGTTTGAATCCAGGGAGCGGTGTGATCTCCCACTGTTAGCCACAGCTTCTGCCAACCTAGCAGTTCAAAAACATGCAAATGTGAGTAGCTCAATAGGTACCACTTTGGCGGGAAGCTATCAGCATTCTAGGAAGTCATGCTGGCCACATGACCTTGGAGGTGTCCATGGACAACAACGGATCTTTGGCTTAGAAATGGAGATGAGCACCATCCATCAGAGTCAGACACAACTGGACTTAATGCCAGGGGAAAACATTTACCTTTTATAATTATCCACATTCCTGAACGTAGGGGCCACGGTGGCACAACAGGTTAAACTGTTGAGTTACTGAACTTGTTGGCCTGAAGGTTGGCAGTTCGAATCCAAGAGATGGGGTGAGCTCCCATTGTCAGCCCCAGCTCCTGCCAACCTAGCAGTTCAAAAACATGCAAATGTGAGTAGATCAATAGGTCCCATCTCGGCAGGAAGGTAAAAGGGCATCCCACGAAGTCATGCTGGCTACATGACCAGGAGGTGTCTATGGACAACACAGGCTCCTTGGCTTGGAAATGGAGATGAGCCCCTCCCCCAGAGCCAGAGATGCACACAGCCCCCAGAGCCAGCAATGACAGGGGAAGCCTTTGCCTGTGTATTTGTATTTCTTTTTTTTTAATTAATTTTTATTGGTTTTCATGTTTACAAACATACATCCATACAGACATATTGATAACATATTGATTGGTTACCACATAGTTCTTTACAGTTGTTTACAGTGTTATCCGTAACAGTAAAATCAATTCTTAAACCTACCATTTCCTGCATTTGTTGTCCATTCATTCCGGGAGTGGGGAGAGGGGGTGGGACAAAGGGGGAGGAGGGTGTGTGTGCCAAGGTTGTATTAGGGGAGAAGGGAGAGGGAAAGGGGAGCTACATACATCATCCACTGGACTTCCCAACCTTCCACGAGGTAATTTAGTCTTATTTATTTTCATTTGTATTTGTATTTGATTGTGTTTCAAAAGCATTGAATGTTTGCCTGTGTCTGTATATTTGCTGGAATCCACTCTGAGTCCCCTCAGGGAGATTGGTTAGAATATAAATATAAATAAAGCGCTGCTGCTGCTGCTATTATTATTATTATTATTATTATTATTATTATTATTATGGTATTTTAACAAAAGAAAGAATGACAATTTATACATCAACTTGAATGTCACAATTCTAGACAGAAACAAGATTTTAAAAAACAGATCAGTAAATGTAGCCTTATTCATCAGAAAACAAATAGTGATACATGCAGAAAATCTTATCTTAGTAGGAGAAAAGTCCACTCAACATCTACAAATTATACTCAAAATACTGGTAACCTTCCAGTGCTCCTGGCTCAAGGCAAAAAAGACATAATGTGCTGCATAATGAGATACTGCATGGGTTATCTGTAACACTTTATTTACCAATTACATATGAACAGCAGCTTTGTGATGCTGAATGGAAGCTGTCATGCAAATGCCATAAAACACAACATTCCTCATTGTTCAATGAGCTTAGATCATAAGGCCATTGGCAGGAGAGGACTAAATGCTCATGCTGTGGCTTTCAAGGAGAGCAAAGTAAACTATTAGCAGTGTCTTATCAGATATATCATTTACAACTGTTTCAACATCAGAGTCACAAACATGGGAAAAACATTCAAAATCATGCCAAGATATACCATATTTCTTTGATTCTACGACGCCATCGATTGTATGACACACACTAATTTCAGAACCACCAACAGAAAAACTCTATATTTAAAAGTACCCTTAATTCTAAAGTGCAACCTATTTTTAAAGATGTTTATATGAAGAAAACACGTCTTAGAATAGAAGAAATTGGGTATATATGGTGCAAGGAAACCTTGGGCAGATTTTTCATGTCATGCAGTTAGTCGAAGTGAGAAGTCCTGGGCAGGTTTCAAGCTGAAGACAATATGAAATAGTATTTTATTCAATGACCTCCTCCTTTTATATAATTCTCTCTTATGGTGCCAGCTGGAAAGCTAAGCTATACCAATAAATTTCAAAGGAATCTGCCATGTAATACTAGATTGCTGCCAAGCATGTAGTTGCTGCAAGATATGAAGTATGGAAAAAACCAAAGTATGATCAAAATGATGACTCTTCTAAAGGAATAGAAGAAAAAAATCTTATTCCAGGACCAATTCTCATCTGAAGGAGAAAGGTCAGTTTCGCATATAAAGCAGTGGTTCTCAACCTTCCTAATGATGCGACCCATTAATACGGTTCCTCAGGTTGTGGTGACCCACAACCATAAAATTATTTTTGTTGCTACTTCATAACTGTAATTTTGCTACTGTTATGAATCGAAATGTAGATGTATTTTTATTCACTGGATCAAATTTGGTACAAATACCCAATACAACCAAATTTGAATACTGGTGGGGTTGGGGGGCTGGGTTGATTTTGTCATTTGGGAATTGTAGTTGCTGGGATTTATAGTTCACCATTCTGAACTTCACCAACGATGGAATTAAACCAAACTTGGCACACAGAACTCCCATGACCAACAGAAAATACTGGAAGGGTGAGTTTTAGTTCACCTACACCCAGAGAGCACTGTGGACTCAAACAATTATAGATTTGGACCAAACTTGGCACTAATACTCAATATGCCCAAATGGGAACACTGGTGGAGTTTGAGGGAAATAGACCTTGACATTTGAGAGTTGTAGTTGCTGGGATTTATACTGTAGTTCACCTACAATCAAAGAGCATTCTAAACCCCACAAACTATAGATTTGGGCCAAATTTCCTACACAGAGCCCCCATGACCAACAGAAAATACTGGAGGGATTTGGGATGAATTGACAGTGATTTAGGGGAGATGTAGTTCACCTACATCTGGAGAGCGCAGTGAACCCAAACAACTATGCCAAAATGGTTCTTAAGACCATCAGAAATATGTGTTTTCTAATGGTCTTTGGAGACCCCTCTGAAACCCTTTCACGACCCCCCCCCCAGGAGTTCTGGCTCCCAAGTTGAGAAACACTGGACTAAAGCCTTATTACACTGATCAAATAGCATTATCGGCAAAATCACTTCTCACTGCTAAAATGTACATCATGCCTTGGCCAAGCCATGCAGAATGATGCTGGTACATGTACCAATTAGGTCTATTTGATAGAATTCATTTCTTTACCCTTCAGAATATTTGCACTGGATTCATTACCATGATTCAGTAATGTGCTGATTGTTTCCTGTAATTCACACTTTCTCATAATATATTTTAAATGCAGATTTCAAAAGCTATACATTTGAAAAGGTGCAAGGAAGTAATGAGTTTTACTGCAGAGGCAAACTTTTAAAACTCAACCGGGATGTTGGGAACTGCAGATGACAATATTTGTTCTTAGTTCTGAACTCTTCTTAACAAATGAACAGAAAGCAGAGAAAAACCCGCATACAAATATCTTTAACAAATAGCCAGTGTGGCAGAAAACGTGATGCCTTTGCTCTATTTTAATCAGCAATAGGTGGCAGCATTGTATGTGAAGAAACAATATAAAATGACTGAGCCAATAAGAACTAGAAACAAACCAGCTCATGGGACAAACAAATCAAATTAATTTACCAAAGTACCCAGGCGATCCATCTTAATGCTGGCTTGCCGAAATCACTTATAGGTAATGGTGCCAGCACTGATTCATTCCGAATGATTCACTCCACACTTTGAGCTATGACTCGGATCCCACCAGACTAACCTTCTGCTTCCTTTGTGATGAAGGATGCTCTCCTTTCACTAGTGCTGAAGGAGGCTTTGACCACCAGTCTAGTCAGTCAGTTGGGGCGGGGGAGGCATTTCTTTTAATTAAGGCAGCAAAATATCTTGAGGTATCCCTGGTGTGCTAGTGAGTGCAAGAAGCAGATAGATGATCAACCCAGTGTTTATCAAACTCTGCTCCTCCAGATGTTTTGGACTTCAGTTCCCAGAAATCCCAACCAGTTGACCAGCTGTAAGGAATTATGGGATTTGAAGGCCAAAATATCAGGAGGAGCAGAATTTGGGAAACACTGAACCAACCTATTGGTAGCACTTTTTGGTACTTATATGGCTTTATCTTCCTAACAGTAGGACTTGGTTTGAACATATTACATCAAAATAGTATCTCCTTTCAAATCTGTTGACTGGGGATAGGCATAGGCAAGTATGGTCATTTAGGTTCTTGGATTGCAGCTTCCAATATGGCTCGTCATTACTTATGTTGACTGATGCAAATTGCCTTCCGACAACATCTGGAGGACCTATGTTGTCCATTCCTGCTGCAGATTAGCCCTGTGACTTCAGGTGATCACTCAAAATATGTTTATACAGGAGCATCGTTTATTTCCCAGAAAAGAAAAGAAGCAAAAAGGTGACAAAGTGATCAGGTTAAGAATCAGCACAAGGAAAAAATAATTCTAGTGTAGCCCCTAAAAGCTAGCTAGTTAGCTTTGGAACAATGCTTAAGATTTCAGATGGCAGTCAAGTCAGGAATGGAACAGTGTGTACTTGCTAATCTGAACCCAAGTCTTTTTTAAAAAAGCCTAAGGAATTTCAAAAAGTTTCTTCCTTACAGGTGCAGAAACCACAGGTGTACCTGCACAGAGGCAATGAAGAATGACTACCCAGACTCAAAACAGAAAAACACACTCAGAATGTAAAAGCATTTCCCACAAACACAAACACATTTAAAATAAGCCTTTTATATTTTTTAAAAATGAAAGCAGAGATTTTTAATGCTTCAAACACACCCTTGGTTGCCAGGGTAAAGCTTTTTAGTCAGGGTAAGTAGGGTGCCTGTGTATATTATGAATGTTAAGACTAAGACAAAAAACCCTTAGTCACAAATAATGTTTATTGATTATTTCCACTTTGTTTGCTTTGCTGCCGAAGCTTTAAATTTGGTTCAAGAAGCCACTGTTGTGTTTATTCTAGAAAATAAATGTGCATGTACAATGTAATTGGTTCTGCAACCACCCCCACAAGTGAATCACTCCAATGGTTTTATTTCGCTGGTAGCTCAATAAGTCATTACACCAATATAATAATATTGACGTGCTGTGTTAAAAAAAAAGAGTCATGGCAAGGAAGGAAGCATTTGAATGACAAAATCCCTGGTTTTTGTTTTGTTTTGATTAGTGCATTGCTACAAGTCCAGTCAAAAGAGCCCCGAATGGATCTAGGCTGTGAATACTGTATAATGGATCCGCAGCTAGGCAACAAGAAAACTGCATTCACATTGAGTCTGGTTGTTTCAGCCAGCATAGCCTAGAACACTGCAGCTTTGCTACCTGAGCAAAGGGCCTGTGCACTGGCATATTTTAAGAAAATACTACTCTGCTCTGCAGCAAATTGTCAAGAAATGTTAGATATTAAAGATGATTTAAGAACTGGCGCCAATGCCCTTGTACGTAGAATACAGAGGACTGGGTATTTTCAGTAACAATTAGTTATTAAAAAGGCACCATTATGGAGTCGGGACTCCACATTTGCAGATTCATTTCAGAGAATTTGAATATCCGTGGGTTTGTAGCTATTGTTTAACTAGTCCTAGTTTGCCCTCCTTGGGCCAACCTTTCTGCTGCCCCACCTCTCCATCACTGTCCTGCCATAGTCCTTCACTATCTTCCCATCAGAGCCTCATCCAGATGTTAAACTCTTTCCTCGATTGGTCCCTTCATCTTCCCATCAAAGCCACATTATGTTAAACTCCTTCCTTAGTCTCTTCCTTCCCTATACTACATTTCCTATCATCTCATCATGAACCTCAGCCTGAATGTAAAATTCTTCTTCACTGATTTACCTTTTCTCCTGCTCACTCCTTGGATCCTCCCCCCCCCCACATAAAACCACCAGCTTCTTAAATTTAGGCTGAAACTGGTGGTGGGATGGGTTTGGGGAGTTCTGTTAGGCAGGAGAAGAGATGATGATGGGAGGGAGGAAGAGGAGAAGTAGCAATAAGTAGGAAAGAAGCAGATGGCCAGTGAACACCTATAAATTCAGGTTCATGCTTCTGTGAGAGAGCGAATGTTTGGGACTATTGGCAGGAAAGGTGTCTAATTTTGGGGGGAGTTTTTTTTAAATCATGTCAGAAGCGAATTAGAGTCACTTCTGGAGTGAGAAAATTGGCCGTCTGCAAGGATGTTGCCCAGGGGATGCCTGGATGTGTTACCATCCTAAGGGGGGGCTTCTCTCATGTCCCCGCACAGGAAGTTGGGGCTGAGAGACGGGAGCTCACCCTGTCTCACAGATTTGAACCACTGACCTTCAGGTTAGTGGGCACAAAGGTTTAACCCATTGCGCCACTGCGGCTCTTTGGAGTTTCTACTAAAGATACATTATGCCATATTTTTGGTTGCAATGAATAGGTAGTTTAGCAGTTAAAGGCATGATGCATTTGCAGCTGTCAGCTGTTCATATACATCTGTTTACCGATGAGAACACTTTGGCCATTTCAAATAAATTGTGTCTTAAATCACATGCAAACACTTGTACAAATAGGATTTACATAGCAATCATTTGCAGAGCAGCTTATTAACTATGAGGAATGGCAAACCATTCTAATAAGACATGATCTCCATTGAGCTGATTGTTCTTTATATTTGGCACAGTTAGATATTTTCGTTCTCAAAAGTCTTTTCTTAAAACTGTATGGATCATTTCGACCAACTTGATTTCCCACAAGTTGAAAACCTGGCAAGGGCGGGTGATGATCAATTGCCTGGATACCTTCAGAAATCTGTGATCATTCTGTGTCAAGTTCAAAGGTACACAGAATATGGTAAGCTGAGTTTGTTGGGAAGTAGCAAAGTCATCTTGTCAAAATCCTTTTCAAACAACCAAAAATATGAACCTGTGCCTTTCTCAGGCATCTGCAGTTCTCAAGGCAATTGTGTGCATATATCATGTTTAGTACATCTACAGAAGGTGAACTGTATGCCCAAAATAAATGTTGGCCTAAACCCAATGCTTAGTCCCAACTAGAGCCCAAGAAGCCACTGAATCAATGGTAATTTGATAAGACAGCATTTATGTAAGTTCTACTATCTGAACAGATCCACACTACTTGGGACTAACTAGATATGGTTTAGGCCTTTGTTGGCATCCCATGGACGCAACATACAAACATTTAACATGTCTTTCTTTGACCAACAGCATACTTTGATTTCTGTTTATTTCAGTGTTGTGTAGATTAACAGTTCCTAAATAAAGATAACTGCTTAAGCCTGTTAGGAAAGTAGTATGCATGGAAATTGCAGTGCATTTTCCACTTTTTAGCAATTTTTTGATTCTGGATATTGCCATTATATAAATTCATTGATTTAGGAGAACTATTTGCTACCAATATAAAGGCAAGATGGAACATACATTTACATTTAAAAGGCTTCTATCCTGAACAGCAGATCTATAACAGAAATCAGTCTGAATGTAAGTATCACAGACTAAATTTCTTAAGCTGTGTAGCTTTAAAAAGCACAAGAAATACAGAAGAACAAAGAATGCATTCAAATGAAAAAATACCCATGATTTTTTTTCTTGGGAGGTTCTTGAAAAACATCACAGATTAGTATTCCTCAGTTATCTGCCCTTCTGATACAATAGACTATAACTCTTTGCTTCTGAGTCAGCTCCAACAATAATAATACTGCGTTGGAATTATTCGAGTTGCATTGCAATATAAGTGTGTGTATGGGGGGGGGGGGTAGGCTTAGGAAGTATTCTTTAGGTATCATCCTTGTTTCTTTCTCCTTGATATATATATCGGTGTGTGTTCACACACATGATCAAACATTGTGCTGAAATGAAACTAGCCATTTTCGAAGAGAGGATGTTTTCTCTATTTACAATAGTATTTATAAAAGACTGAGAGATTTCTCAGCTCAACCAACACACATATTAAAATGATACACATCTTTCTGGTAACCACAGCAACAATGAAAATCTTGCTACAAAAATTATGACTATCATAGGAAGAATTCAATTACCACTGTGCCATACCTCTTTTCTTTCCGAGCAGCTGCTATTCCTCCTCTTTTCAGGTTTTGTAAAAATGCCAAGGAAAAAGGAGGGGAAATAGTTAATACTGTTATGGGTTTGGGACTGGTCTAAATCGTTGCTGTTCAGACGTGGGGGACCAGCATTTTTTTTCCAAATATGCCAAGGACTATTTCTTACTTTTCTGGAAACTCTCCAAAGACCAACAAGAGATGGTTGTTAGATCAGCGTGGGCCAGCCTTTGAGTAGAGCTGACTAAATGGCCTTTTGAGAATCTTTCCAATCTTGCAAGCCTGTAGGTTCTGAAAATATCAATACTGCTGTGCACTAAACTGGTTAGGCAAGTTTAACTCAATGGAGCTGGATCTCATTTTTCAGGGATGGCCATAGATATGGCTGAAAACTCCCTTAAAATATTATACATTTTGCAGTAGAAACAACAAAATCATGTCAAGTTTGTAGCTATGAGGAAGATTTCATAACTGGAAAAGGACTGGAAATGTTATGTTCTTCTAGGAATCTGACAGGGAGCAATATTTTGTTGGACTCGTAATCCTGTGAATCTTCCCCGTACATTCAGACTGCATATGAACAAATACATTTTGCATCAGAGAAATGCTGTATCTGTTTGGTGAGTTTGCATCCAAGGACAATACATCCCAGCTTAAGTAACATCTCTTAGTTCTCAAATGGTAGGTAAACAACTAGTACACTTGATCCTTAGCCACAAGGCTGAAAAGCAATGGTAGGTAAACACACAGAGAAGTACTTTTCATAACATGAATTAAAGAATAGTTAAAATGAAACATTTAAATCATACATTTGCAGATGTGAAATCATAGTGAAATCAAAGTGAAATAGCAATTTAAAATATACAAAACTTATTTAAAAAAAAAGAAAATTCAGCATGGATGGTGAACTTACTAAGTATATATCCAGTACGGAAGCATTATCATTCTCGGTCTCTACTGTGCTCTGTTCTGAAGTCAAGCAGATAGCACTGTCTTCTAAGGTGAACGTTGAACTTGAAGGCAACACTTTACTAGATATAAAAATAAAATACAATGAGCAAAAAGGAAGTAAAGTGATACAAAACTCACATTGGTATTTTAAAAATATTGCGCTAATTAACTTTGGCTAAGGCCCTCCTGCACATTTCCTTAAAACAATCAGAAACGCATCCCACTTAAGTCCCTGGACACTGAAAGACTTTGATATGTCAGCAAAAAGGAGCTATCCAAGGTGCTAACTTTGGTCTGACTATACCCCGAGTGGATTCATGCTCACATTGAGATAAAAACTATCTGCCACTACAATGAAAACTCCAGGACACACCTGCTATTTGTTTTAGCAGGTGAATAAATAGATCTGTGTGAAGGGACTTAAGAATAAGGAAGCAGCAAGAGGGCCCCATCAGACAGCAACAAGAGGGCCCCATCAGAGGGCTCCATTAGAAAGTTGGCTGCGAATGGAAGCAGTTATTGTGGGATAATTTCAAGAGTATACCTGTAGCCACTCTGCAACCTGCTCTCTAAGAGCAACATCCTGTTTAGATTATTTTTTTTTACATTGAATTAAAATGGATAACCAGTCAACATGAGAGTGCCATATTAGTTCAGATTCTTACAAGGTTATACACTCCACCTATTCTAAAGCTTTGGGCAACATAGTGGATTTTCCACATTCTTTTGGTATGTATGAGTATATAAACGTACGCATACCCAATCTAGCCAATTATTATAGCTATTTGGAGAACAGGAAGAGAAAAACTTGGCACACCCAATGAATGTGACTGGTATGCCACAGCTTTTCCTGTTTCACTCATCCTAAAGCATAAACAGAATTATTATTAGTGCTCTTGATTATTTAGTCTGCAACTTTAAAGGTTTGGTTTTAGATTGCATTCATGCATAACTCAAGAGAAGAGAAAAATAAGAAGCAGAGGTACATAACACGGAATGCTTAAGCATAATATCAGAACAGGAAGTCTTTCTGTAACTAAACATATGCGAACGTGGATGCAAATGGAAAATAGTAAACAACTTCTGTAGCCATATATTGTGCATATATAGTTACCATGGTTTCACATTCATATTGGCAAGGCCAGAAGCAGGGCTCCTATTCATATCTCATATCGTAATTTTTTTTTTTTATGCTGGTATTTTTTTTCCTAGTTCTGAGCTAAACGCAAACAAACACCAGCTTGTTCCAGAACACTGGAAATGCTTGTTTAATGTGACTCATATTTCATCATCTTTCGCAAATAAAAACTCTGGCACGTAAAACCACTGCTGACAGAAAAGGGGGCCAGAGCAATTCAGCTTGGTTTACATGTGATAGAATAAAAAAGTGGTACCCAAAAAAGAGTAAAAGGACAATAAGGCAAGGAGCCAAATGCATATGTAACTGTAATCTCTCCCCTTTTCATTCGATACCTTTTTAAAAAAGCAAGGAACAAGACAACCGACTTTTTCTATTCCTGGTCTAAAATATTCTTAGTGACTTTAGCATTACAGTTTATGTTTGACATTTTTTACAGCTGCAAAAAGAGTCAAGGTACTGATTAAGAAGTGACCCAGCATACCATTAGCATGCTCTCTGGCAGAGAAGCCTCATCTGCATTGCAATTACTGTTTTGCAAAGCATGGCAGTTGTTATTGGAAAACAATAAGCGGAATTGACTTTTTAATACACTTTCTGGCTTTGAGGTGAAGTCGGCTGGCATGAAATGTTCTTTTATTCTACTAAACTACTTCAATCGCAGATGCATGTTTGCATTATCAGTTGTTACATTGGACACTAGGAATTGCATCTGTCATGATGTTCTCCAAAAGAACATTGTCTCCAGTAATAAAAAGCTTCTGTAGAATTACCAGCAAAGAGAAAGTATTTGAATTATGCTCCAAAGAAATATAAAACCTACGAATCTACTTATAGTACAAACACTTGCTGCATTGTTTAATAAATGATTATTGTCTTGTTTTATGAATGCTTTGCAAATCTGAAGGACAGACAACACTACTACTATAATTTAAAAGTGAGAATATTATTGTATATTCATCTTGGGTCAGAGGGCTAAGGTAGGTAAAGTTGGGAGTGTCTTGATCTAAGTGGGATTTACTATCACTTTATGTTCAGGGTCTGCCTAGCTACGGTACTCAGGATTTAGAAAAGGTGTTTGTTCCTCAACCAGCAAAAAAATGAGACACACAGTTGTGTGGGTTGAACTATGGGCAACTTTTATTATATGTTACCAATGAATCTCTGTGTGAACTGCCAACCCATTTAAGGGCATGAACTAGGTGTGTAATGAAACTGAGGCAGTGGCCATCCAGAGACCTACTCCTCATCAATCAAGGGCGAGACCCACAATAGGAGAATGCAGCAAAATAGATAACATGAAAGTATGAATGATGAACATGGAATGGCCAGATGATGTTACTGGAAAATGATTTTAACAAGATGATATGTTACATGTTTTTATGGTTTTTATATATGTTTTATATTGTTATGACTGTGTTTTTAATTGCACTTTTATGAATGTATGACATTGAATTGTGCCAATCTGTAACCAGCCTTGAGTCACCATATGGTTGAGAAAGGCAGGTTATAAATGTTGTAAAGAAATAACAAATAAATAAACAAGTCCCGACCAGGACTATTTTTTGGTCTCTACTTTCACAGGAAGGGAGTAAAGTCCTTTCCCTCCCTCATTCTGAAGGGTGGAAAGCAATTCAAGATACCACAAAACACTGCGTTTCCATATCAAATGATAATATGCTGTTTCTCAAAATGTATTATTATTATCATCATCATCATCATCATCATCATCATCATCATCATCATCATCATCATCATCATCATCATCATTACCATTATTACCACTATGACTATTACTACACCGGCCAACACACATTTTTGTGCTGCAAATGTTAGACTCATTTCTGCGTATATTTGATTTCAAAAATGGCACCAGTTTTTCCCATATCAGCTCTAGTTTTTGAGATACAGAACCAATGCCTTATACCAGTCTTTACCTGCTTATCCACAGAAAATCTTGATAACCATATCAAAGAAACTAGAGCTGATGCTGTCGATTCAATGAAATTTTCTGAATCAGTACCCCAAATAACCCCAGCAACAGGTCTAAAAACAAATATTTTTTTAATTGAGCCATGTTATTATTGAATAATACATAGAATACTAGTTGATTTATAAGGGTGTTATGAATGCAGGGTGAGAAACATGATACATTTATTCACTCCTATATATCACTAACTCTTGATTTATGAGAAATGTCTGAATTCAGACCAAAATCCAGGATGCTGAGTGGGAAGTTTTGTTTCTATTATCTATACAAAATTCTATCTGAATATGTTTGAATGTAACCCTTTTAGCCAAATATCTCAAGCTATTCCCTTATAGATTGTAGCTTAAAGGAAGCAAAAAACAAACAAACAAACAAACAAAATATCTGAGCGTTTTACTATTTACTATTTATTATCCATATGCCAGCATTGAAGAATGGTGTGAGTTGTAGGTGTTATTTTAATAATCTTACAATCTTCTTGGTTCTTTATGCATAAGTCAATGTTTCTGATTCAGTTCCTTTTACCACCACTCATATAAATCAAAATAGCATCTAAGAAAAGTAGGCTGCTTCCATAAGTGTTGCTTTTGGTGCAGAACTCCTTGCTCAACAGATACTGTTTATCATGATTGGCATCCATTTGACAAACCAAGAGTCATTAATTAAGTAGTAATTAAAGTCTCAATACATAAACCATTATCTATAATTACACAATTACACATCCCTCTAAATGTGCAGGAATCTTGTAATAACATTTTTTCCTTGGACAATTTTTGTGGCTCTAAGTTGTGTTCAGTATTCTATCCAAATTATTCTAGCTGGTTCGCAGGTTTATGGTTATTGTAATAATGATGGTTATGATTACATTCTTATTGTATTGTATTGTATTCTGGACGCTTCAAGAATACAATGCAATACAATACATAAAGAGTGTAATTCTAAGATCTACAGAGACACTCACTGGAACACCTCAGCAAGCGAGAGTCCAAAAGTGGCAGGCTAAAACCCAGAACCTCAATCAATGGCTATTACCAAATGAGAGACTTCCTCATGGGCACACAGAAAACTGGGCGACTTGGAAGGCACTGAACAGACTACGCTCTGACACCACGAGATGCAGAGCCAACCTTAAGAAATAGGGCTACAAAGTGGAGTCTATGACATGCAAGTGTGGAGGAGAGCAAACCGCAGACCATCTATTACAATGCAGCCTGAGCCCTTCCACATAAACAATGGAGGACCTTCTTATAGCAACACCAGAGGCACTCCAAGTGGCCAGCTACTGGTCAAAGAACACTTAATATAATGCCAAGTTTTCAAACTTTGTGTTTTGTTTTTTAAAATACAATACAACTATTTTGTTCACTCCTGATACAATAAATAAATATTGCATTGTATTGTACTGTATTGTAAGGGACTAGAAAAGTCAGTATGTGAGCAGTTAAAGGGGTAAAACTCAAGAAAGAAATAAAGCTTGAACTGTAAATAAAGAAACTCAGTAGAGTTAAGTACACAAAAACTGGATTCCACATGGCAATACTTTTGCATGAAGGATAAGATGCTAAGATAAATTTAGTATAAATAAATGTCTCCAAATAATTCTGCAAACCAACATGGTGCCTAAGTAAGATTTGTGTCAAATAGCTCAACACAAATGGATATATATATAAATGAATCTAAGTACCATGCAGAGAATATATGTTGTGTACTTGAGACGGGGGGGAACAGGTATGGTTCAAATTACTTGAATCAAGGAGGAAGCTTTTTCAACTGAGGAAATGAAATACTTCCATGAAGACCCCACACAGAGATGATAAAACCATTTCACCCACAAGATGGTTGCTCCAACTTCATTCAGACTCTGGTGCCTTTCCAAGTAAGTGAGACAATAAATCCAACTCCAGGTTTAATGTGGATATTAAAGAAATAACCCAAGATCCTGAGGCTATCCTGGGAATAGAGCGCACACGTTGGATAGCTTCTTTAAAATTCGGACTAAATCCCTGAGTGGATTCACTGTCCACCAATATGAAAACCACCAGACCTACTACTGTGTCGATACAATATAGTTTTACCTGAAGACATGCTGTGGAAAGATCGTGGCACAATTCTATAAACCAGCTGAACTAGCATTTTGTTTCTTAACCACCATATAAAAACATTCTCGTTAAAAATTATCCAGTTTCTTGTTTACACATAGACTGGGGAAACAACTTTTTATCAGACATCTCAACAAGAAAGACTGAGCATATACAAGTGTGGATCAAAATGTTTTGCCTCCTGTATCACAAAAAGGTTACATGTAGCAAAAGTTGCTACAGATCATAGCCTGAACCATCCTCTACGCAAAACTACCATTCAATATAGTCATCATCAATTTGTACACATTTGTGCCACCATTTCACCCAGGCATCAAAACCATTTTGGAAAAATTTAGAGTTTGGCTTCGTTTTAACGTCATTCAATGCCAGATTACACAGAGAGGCCAGAGATCCTCTGAAAGACAACCTATGGGGTTTCAGATTCAATTACTTGAATGACGTTTTTATATTCCAGTATTTGGTTTTAAAAGACTGCAGAAAGATTTTAAACTGTACAGGAATAAAACACGCTCAGTAAAATCTATCACTGAATTCCCTCTGCCAGTTACATGTACCCATCTCAAAATTGTGCATGAACTTTTTAATAACAGCTTGAAGAGGGAGAGGGAGAGCATGAAGATAAGTATCAGCATCTAAAACAATGACTTCTTTCATCACAAGACTTTACTGAACATCATACAGGTTTTATTGTTTTCTATGTAACCGTAATTAAAATGTTGCATTAAACAACAATGCTTTTTCTTTCTTGATTCCTCCTTTTAAATGAAAGGCAGACAGAGATGGACAGACAAGTAGATGAGAGATAGGTAGACAGTTATTAAGAATGCTTAATAAACATCTTTATAAATAAATTAGCAAACTGTTTCATCTTCTGCCACCTTCGTTATGCTCAACATAAAAGTTAGCTCTATCCCCAGGTTGCAGTTCAGTATATTGTATTGTCAATATCCCTATGCAGATACACACACACACACACAATATACATACACATTTTTTATTGCTTCTGGTGTGAGAGAATTGGCCGTATGCAGAGACGTTGCCCAGGGGATACCAGAATGTGTTACCATGCTGTGGGAGACTTCTTTTAATGTGCCTGCATAGGAGGCAGGGGCTGACAGTCAGGAGCTCACCCCATCTCACGGATTCGAACCGCTAACCTACAGGTCAGCAGTTCAGCCAGCACAAGGGTTTAACCCACTGCACCACACCGACTCCCTTGTATATACATACACATACATATATAATTTATTTATATTATTATATTAATATTACCATATATTTATCACTAAACCACTGTATCATTATCATTATTACTATTAATATAATTGATTTATATAAATATTGGTGTGTATGTGTATTGTGTGAGTGTATGTGTCTATTTCACCGGGTTTCTGAATGTAGGAAAAGGCTGGTCCATTTTCCTCCACCCCCTTTGTATTTCCATGAGTCATGCTGAGTCATGCAGCAAGATGAAAGGTAATTCTTTGTAATAATTTTCTTTTTTATAATGACAGATTTTGGTACCTATATTTGTAAAATACGTTGAAATAATCATGTAAACTTTAGCATTAAGGCTACTGCTGTGGATGATAGCATGTAAGAACTCCATCTTTATCAGTGTGGCCCAATGTGAGTTATTTACAGTCTTTCACAGGAAGAAAATTGTGTGAAACAGGGAAGACTGACAGAGGAATTGCATCTTGTACAAATATCAGCCCATCTTGTGCAAAAATGACATTGGCTTTGGAAGTTGTTGTTGTTGCTGCTGCTGTTGTTGCTAACATCATGCCTATCCCACTTTATTTCTCAAAAAAGAAACCCAAAACGACCAGCATTAAAAACAATACAATATATAATTTAAAACTTTAAAAACATGCAGTTACATCCATTTCATGCAGTCAAAGTGGGACTTTGATTCCACTTTGCCCCCTAAATATGATGGTATTCAATGCAAACCCTGTTAGTACATGTTTGATAAAACTATATTTGATAAAACTGAATTTGAGATGGAAAATTAATAGGCCTCCTTATGTAACCAATTTAAGCTACAAAATATGGATCTGTCTCTTAACTGTTTTATCAAATTGTTTATTATAATCATTTGAGATTATTAGATTACAAGACAACACTAGGTTGATTGGATGTAGATGATGAATAATCTGACATTGAAGAAATACTGTATGTACAAATAGTTTGTGAACACAGATACTGATATAAAGATGACTTTAACATACATTTGATCCTTCTGCACCAGTTTAAAAGCATAAAAAGTAATTTTCCATTTAGAGCATGTCAATGATTTTTTGTTGGAATTTAAAAGGCATGTTCAGACAATTTTTCCAAATGAAAAAGAAGTCTGTAGGATTATGTCTTTTTAAAAGGCAGCTTTCCAGAAAGCCTTACTGCACTTACAAGCATAAGTTTTAATGTAAACAGCTGGAGGCTGTCACTTCAGTCAGCTTATCTTCAAAAAGAGGCACACAGCACCTTAATTGTGCTTAGCACTGGTGCTTCAGTCACACAGGAGGAAGCTGACATATATAACCTAAACACATTTCAAATACTTTCCCCTGAGATGAACATATGAAAAATGCTCGAAAACTCAATTATTTGGAGAGGAAATACTGAGGCCATCAAACATTCCAATAAATCATATGGGAAATCACACTTTGGAATAGGAAAAACAATATATAATAAACCCTCTGTATAATACTAATAATAATAATAGTCAGGAAAAGAGATTTAAAGATTGGCTTAAAGCCAACCTTAAAACCTGTGGCATAGACAACGAGAACTGGGAAGCCCTGGCCCTAACTGGGAAGCCCTGGCTCTAACTGGAGGACCAGCTGTGACCAGCAGTGCTGCAGAATTCTAAAGAGGCACGAATGGAGAGCAAAAGGGAGAAATATGTCAAGAGGAAGGTGGATCAAGCCAGCCCTGACTGGGACCGCCTTTCACCTGGAAACCTGTCCTCACTGCAGGAGAACAAACAGATCAAGAATAGGGCTCCACAGCCACCTATGGACTCACCACCAAGACACTACACTTGGGAGGACTATCATCCTCGGGCTATGAGAGATCGCCTAACAACAGCAACAACAACAAAAACTTTCTTTCTATACCCTGTTTCCATCTCCCCAAAGGGACTCGGAATATAAAATAAGAGATACCATTTGACACCATAAAACAAATCAGTTCAATGTTTTATCCAACAGGAGAGACAAAAAGAACATATTGGTTGTGATTCTATAAACACTAGCTTGGGAGAGAGTCCTACTGAATGCAGTGAAACGTACTTTGCAGTGGACAGGTTAAGTATTAACCCACAGTCTAATATCAGGGAGAACTCTCCTCAAAGTATTGGGGTGCATTCTCCTCTAGCTCAGACTATGAATCACCCTTAGAGTATGCGGAGTATCAATAACTAAATGGTAACTGGGATTTTTTCATACAACAGGCTTTCTCTTCAAGGCTGGATCTACACTGATCTATATCCCAGGATCTGATCCCAGATTATATGCTTTGAACAGGATTATATGAGTCTACACTGCCAAATAATCTGGGATTTTTTTTTTGTCGTGTCAGGAGTGACCTTAGAAATTGCAAGCCGCTTCTGGTGTGAGAGAATTCGCCGTCTGCAAGGACGTTGCCCAGGGGACGCCCGGATGATTTGATGTTTTATCATCCTTGTGAGAGGCTTCTCTCATGTCCCTGCATGAGGAGCTGGAGCTGATAGAGGGAGCTCATCCACCTCTCCCCGGATTCAAACCTGCAACCTGTCGGTCTTCAGTCCTGCTGGCACAGGGATTTAAGCCACTGAGCCACCTGGGGATATAGGGCAGTGTTGATCCAGTTCAAGACTTAAGACAACTGTCTAGGGACATAGTTACCGTTGGGGTTTAAGGTGCAGTCAGTGTTTTCTCTAACTCTTCTACAACCTCATGGTAAATCCGGTGGGTCAATTAGTCAGCAGTCAGCTAGAAAGCTGCAGGTTCAGACCCAGTCAACACCAGCTAAAAAGCTGCAGGTTCAGAGCACTTTGGTATGCTTAGAATGTAATCTGTAATGAGTTTGTTTGTTCTTTTCAGTATTACATATAAATCAGAATATGACAAGGTGGGGAGAAAGAAGTACAGAAACAAATTCAGTATTTACCTGCTAGAATAAAACCTAGATCCATCTTGTTGATATTGGTCATCTGCAAACAGGGAGGAAGAAGAAATTGTGGTCGCTAAAGAAGCTGCTTCAAACAGAGAGGCTGAGCTTGGCACTAAATCTGGTCTGTGTCGGGAGGCTAATACTGAAGGGGAAAAGAAAGAGAAGCAAGAAAATAACGTTAGAAAATGTTCACAGAAAACACTACAAGCTTACTTGCAGGAAACAGACATGCAATACTGGTACACACAATGGGTAAGTTCATTGTGATAATCCAGAATTTCTTAGGCCATGTATTATGAAAGGTGTGGGGATTTGTAAAAAAAGCACCATGATGTAATAGGTTGACTGGAAACGCATGTGTTGGCAGCTGAATTCTGACTGGCTACTGTTTCTAGCTTGCTGCTGAGAGAAACGGTTTTAACTACCATTTTTCATCTCTGAGAGTGAAGAGAGCGCTGACTGGAAACAGCCTGGAAGGAAATGGCTGCCAACTCTCTGAAGCCTGATCATTTCTAAGGCATGGAGCATATTTTAAAGACTGTTTAAAAGAACTGTTTATTCCCTCTGTTCTCTGTAAGAATTCAGAGAGACTGCTGTATATATTGTTGCTCTGTTTGACCTTTTGAACTGAAATAAAGTTACTGTTACTTGTTACACAAAACTGAGTGACACATTATTATACTGCAGGGTATTATTTTGGTTCAGAAACAGTGGTAGAGCTTGTTTATTTACATTTACAACCTCCAACAAAAGGCATGAGTCTCATAGATTGTTATGCCTTTTTGGTCTCTACGATACTAGCTGTGGGGTTCGGGGGGATTAATAACACCTGGTTTACAAAATTTCCCTGTTGCACCAAAACGAAAGAATTGGCTTAATGTTCATAAATAATCCCAGGAAAACATAGAGTAGTCTCGCTTATCCGACACAAACAGGCCAGCAGAACATTGGATAAACGAAAATGTCAGATAACATGGAGTCTCCTACTGTTGGATATGTATAAGTGTGAATATGAGCCAGAATCTTTGTACCCGTCTGACGCGGCGCTAGACACCTAGAATACTAAAACAGGGACTCAAAGGATTGCGACAAGGCAACACCCCAGGGTTAGAGCGGCCCAGCAGAAAATGCCCAGATGCAGAAGAGGAGAGTGGAAATCACAGAGAGAAGGAGGGAGGACGCTTCCATTCCTGTCTCTTTTCCTCCTTTACTCCTTCCTACTCCTCGTCTTGCCTTTTAAAATTACTGGGAATGGAGAGAGAGTTGGGGAGCACTCCTTTAATTGAAGGGGAAATGCTGGAGGAAAAGGGGGCATCGGATAAGAGCATTGGATAAGACGGAATGTCAAATAAGTGAAGGTTGGATATGTATAAGTGTGAATATGAGCCAGAATCTTTGTACCAAAATCAGTGCGCAAAAAATAAAAAGTGAGGAGAGATCAGGAACATTTTTCACTTGTGCATAAACCATTTTTTTAAAAGAGCAGTTCAGCAATTCTTGAAGCATTACCTTCTTCATCAAGACTACAATAGCTCTGTCCCTCTGTAAGCAAGTCATGTTTTTCATCTTTCCAGTCATGGCTAACCACAGATACAAATTCCTGTGATGTCGCTTTAAGAGCAGCAATGGAATTACATCTTTTCTTGGAGGGAGAGGACTTTAAGGCTGTGTTAAAAGGGGAGAAAATCAAGACAGATATGGACTGTTATAATAAGAGGCAGAATTTCATATTGCTTATATAAGCTATTTCACAATCTTTTGTTGTTCAAACTCATAACTGTGCTTGCTGTCATGAACGAGGCTTGATCGGATTACTAAAATAATTGCCATTATTTTATAACTTTATGCAAGAATGTAACTACCTTCTGAAAACTCTGCAATATAGGCCAGTATAAATCTGAGAAATATTGGCTTCCAGGGATAGAACAATAAAACTTGAATTGAACTTTTTGATGGCAAAAGTCTACTAAGAGGAAATGTATTTGCTATAATTTCACCACATATCTTCACCTTCATTTTACAACATCAAAGATTTTATGATAATATAAACCCGAATCCTCTTGGAAACACATTTATTGAGGAAAAGACTGTTTGGCTCAAATTGTAATCCAAAACAAATATTAAAATGTAGATGACTATTCTGGTATTCAAAACTATTGTAAAAGAAAGGTCAACAGGTTTTAGTGAACTAACTCAATGTGTATATTTTGTAGGAAAGACAAATATGGTACTGACGCCTATGTGTCAGAAAACATCTGTATCTAATGATCTGTAAGATCAGTACAAGGTTAGACACTGCTGCTCACGCAGTTATTACAACATGTGATTTCAAGGCCTATTTGCAGTGAGTTCTTCTTATTGGCATGTACACAACAAGGTCCTGCAACAGGGTGGTCTTCAGCGATGGAGACCTTTGGGTGCCTCCCAAATTCCTATCAATACTTCACCACCTGCTGGGTCAAGAAATGCAAATTCTGCACATGTGTTCCTTCTTTACAGCAGACTGAAGGCATTTGAGAGGGATGTGGGAAAGTATGCAGACACCTGACATTTTCTATAGCAGTTCGGCATGCTAACTGGCATATTACACAGAGGGGGTTGTGTGCTGAAGGAAGGAAAGGCTTGGCAGTAATCCTACGGCAGGAATGGGAAAATGTGTAGCTTTCCAGATGTTGCTAGACTTAATTTCCGTCAGCTCTTGCATTAGTATACCAACCCTGACAAATAACACTACATAATCAGTCAATCAACCAACCAACCAACCAATCAATCAATCAATCAATCAACACATTTGTTGTGCTAGCCAAAGACCATGACAGAGAAGTATAAAATATATAGAACGTTCAAGATAAAAAAGACAAAAGACAGTAACAAAAGTTATTACCAAGCTTATATAAAGAATAAAAACATTTCAGTATCTAATGTGGAAATCAAATTAATACTTTGAGCCTCTATGGTAATTTTTATCTAACAACAACAACAACAATACACTTGATTTATATTCCACCCTTCTCCCCTAGGGGACTCAGAGCATTTAAATACATAGACAAACATTCAATGCCTTTACAATCATATACAATAAGACACACAAACAAAGGCAGAGGCTTCTCCTTTCATTTCTGGCTTCTGGCTCTGGGGAGGTGCTTTTCTCTATTTTCAAGCTGAGGAGTCTATGTTGTCACCTCCTGGTCGTGTGGCCAGAAAGACTGCTTGGAGTGTCTCTTTGCCCTTTCCCGATGAAGTGGTACTTATTTATCTAGTCACATTTGCATGTTTTTGAACTGCTAGGTTCAAACTGCCAACCTTCAGGTCAGCAGTTCAGCAGCACAAGGGTTTAACCCACGCATAGGCAAGCTTTGGCCCTCCAGGTGTTTTGAACTTCAACTTGCACAATTCATAACAGTTAGGAATTGTGGGAGTTGAAGTCTAAACCACCTGGGGGGCCAAAGTTTGCCTACGCCTGGGTTAACCCATTGTGCCATCTAGCTCTCTCTTTTCTTGTAGCCAAAGCAAAACAAAAAAAAGCCTCTTTAAGCGCTACATAATTATTGGAATCTCTCAGAAAAAAAAAACAAGAGAGTTCCCACTCCCATTTGTGAGGAAAGGTTTCAGAATTTTTTATCTGGGATCACTATCCAGGGGAACAGTTTAGCATGCAATGCACAGCTCATGCCCACAGGGGTGTTGTGCACAAACCTGTGCACAGGTATTCACACAATTCTTGAATATAATGCTTTATTATGACTAAAGATAACATCTATTAGGTTACACACATCCAGGCTGCAAAGCTTATTAGGTTCATTGATAAGCATTTAGGACAGGATGCTGTTGCCTACTGTGTCAGTGGAATATCAGAAAAATTACAAAATTGTATAACAGTGATACAAGGCCTTTATGAACTGAATCATAGGCAGAATGCACTATCGCAAAACATTACAGTGGCTTATGAGGATGGTCTATGCATTTTATTAATCAAACAGAAACTGTTAGGAAATCTGAGATGACATGCATCATGACCAAAGCAACGATGAACAACCCTATAGGATGGGACCAAGACTCGAATGGGTCCAGTGCCATTTTCCAAACAGCAGGCAGGCAGATTTTGGAAGTCCACAGCACAGCACGAAGAAAGCAGCTCTCTCCTAATGTTTGCTTCCCAACAATGGCTACTAAACACGAAGATTGAAATTTGCATCCATTATCAGAGGCAATGTAAGTTGTTGGGGGAATGCAAGAAGGAAGATGCAGTTGCATTCATGCCCTACTGTCATGCCTTACCACAGACATCTGGCTGCTTACTGTGTGAGCAGAATGCTAGATAGATCTTCAGTCTGATCCGGCATGGCTCATGTTATTATAATTTTAATGTTTCACACAGGCTTCAACCTCCTTTCTTTTACTATGTATGTGAGTGTCACTGAAGCTGGTGCCATACTACAAGCCATTGGCTGCTGATCCATTGAGTTTCCAGGAAAGGAAGAATAGCTGTTGCCAAATTGGTACGAATTGGTGCTGATTCCTAGAATATTAGTTTTTTTCCCCATTCCTGCACACCAGCCAGAGAGGCAGCCTATTTAGAACAACTTTTCCTAACCTTGTGCCCCAGCCAACTTCAGATTCCCCCAGCCTACATAATGTCCAACAAATGAAGCATAAACGGATAGTTCCCAACACAAGTTAGAATGTACACAGCGTAAGAGTTAACAGAAAGTTAATAAACTGACATACACTTACTTTGATTCTTTTTGAACACTCTGGAACTCATAAACTTTAAAAATCTGTCAGCGTAAAAACTTGGCCTATGCACTGAAACAGTGTCCTGCAAAGAAGGGAAAAAGTTATTAAGATTAGGATATTTAGAAAGAGAAAAGGAAAAATAAGACTACATGGTTTACAGAAGGAAAAGTTCTTAAATTAATATAATATAAACATTATTGTATTGTTGATATTTTAATTCTATGTTTTAATGTCTAAATGTTGTTTATGCTTTAATGTTTTAATGTGGTTAGTGTTTTTAATTTATAGTCATACTTTATGGTCTAGATAATATGCTTTGGTTTTCACATGTATGTACGACATTGAATGCTGGAAACCGCTCTGAGTCCCCTCACACCTCACGGGTGAGAAAAGTGGTATATAAATGCGGTAAAAGGGTAAATAAAGTTGTGAAACTTTCAGAAGGTGATCTAATCCAAATCCATTATTTCTCTTTTGCTATCCAGTTACCACTGAAAAAAAGTTATGGCTCATCTTGAATCCACTGAATATGACAATTATTTACAAAAAAACACATTTGAAAACGCCTTGTCAAGGAAAGTTTGAGATTATTATCTCTATTTAGCTACCAAAATGTTTTCTCTAGGGTAATTGTGAGGTCTTTAAGCTTTCTCTAATCAGAGCAAAGACACAAAACTAGATGTAATCTGAATAAATGTTGGGTTCCTATATAGATACAAGTTTGATCGGGATAAAAATAGGTTTCCACATTGGGTAAGTCATAGATACTATGATTTTCAGGGAGGCTATGAGGTTGTGTATCATATACAACTTCAGTGTTGAAATTTTTTTTGGATTGTGTTTCAAGCAACTATAATGACAAAAAACATGTCTCTCTAGCTTTTTATCATCAGTCAAAAGTAAATTTCTTGCTTCTCTATATCCTTCTCTATATTATTTCCATTACAATTAACATGGAAAGGGACTCATTTTGTCATTTTATTCAGTACAACACTCTCTCTGTGTGTATGTGTGTGATATATATATATATATACACACACACACACACATATACACACACATACATACACAATATTGTATTAATAAACCACAACATTAATAAAATAAAGTATGTCCTCCACATTTACTGGTGTTAGGGGCCCACCCCCTTGCAAAAGTGGAAAAATGTGAATTAAAAAGCCCAACAGGGTTTTAGAAGTGTTCACCTTAGGAAACCCCAGGTTCCCCAGTGTGACTTTATGGTTAATTTCTGACAGACATTGACCATAAAATCATGCTGGAAAACCTTCAGCTTCCCCGAGAAACATAATCAAATCTGCAAAATGTACTTCCTGAAATCTGTAGGACTAACTGTCAAACAAATACTTTATTGATACCTGAAGCATACAACTGTCAATATGATAGAATAATTGACATAATATCAATATGCAAATATCCTGATAATCTTAAATATGACTTACTCCATCATAAACAAGTGCCTTCCAGGAATGTTCCAATTTCTTTATTAATCTGATGACACACCAACAAGAAATAGGTTAGTGGAATATGCAGCTTTATTTTACAAGATCATCACTGAAATGTAGCAAATTAAGAAGTATTCCATAATTATATTCTGAGCTAATAATAATAATAATAATAATAATAATAATAATAATAATAATAATAAATTTTATTTCTACCCCACCACCATCTTTTTAGCTGCCCCAAAGGGACTTGGGGCGGCTAACGAAGTACAGTGAAGTGCCACATATAAACAATACATAGATCTAAAAATGATAAAACCATGAAATTACTACCTGTAAGACTGTAGGATATCAATGATGCCCATGAACAGTAGCAGCTTTTCTCCTCTGTGGCTTTTAGCTGGAATTCCTCCCATTCTGATGGTAGCAAAAATATTTGGATATAAGACATTATTTCAAAAAAAAAAATATCACCAGTGAAATTTAACTGAAGCAGAAGACCCCATGCTATTCAATCTGAACACTACATACCAGTGGCAAATAAATAAGGGAAGCAAAGTCTCTTTCCACCTGCTTATATACATAATTGTGCTCAATTAAGTCACATAGTTTGTTCTTCCAATCATACTACTGGTCGTTATTTATTACTCCTTTCCCAATACTAGTGTGCCATATTCCAGATGGATAGAGCCCTGAGTCTATAAGAAAGGGTGCATCATTCTACACCAGGCATGAGCTAACTTTGGCCCTCCAGGTGTCTTGAACTTTAATTCCCACAATTTCTAACACCCGGTAGGCTGTTAGGAATTGTGTGAATTGAAGTCCAAAACACCTAGAGGGTCAAAGTTTGCCCATGCCTGATATAGAAGTATGAAGGGTCTTGAAGCATACGTTTCTAAAAGACTTACGTGTTAGTGCTCTCTGTGATGACACAGTCCCCAGATTTTCCTGGACCCTGTATCGATTCCATAGCGGTAGAATAGAGAACTCTTTGTCCTGCTGGGCGTTTTGAATCAGAGGTGTTCTGAGAAGTCTCCCCTTCTCTCTCTTTTGCAGCGTTGTCCAGCGTGTGGATTCCAAGAAGTAAACTGTAATCCATAATTTTAAAGCTTTCCAATACCTAGTAAAATAATTTTTTTTAAAAAAGAGTGACTATCATTATATTTCAAAATCCATAGCTATGCTGTAGCCATAGTTATAGAGTACATATACAGCTATGCGGTAAATATATAAACTGCAAAATTAATATCCAAATGATAAAACTTCAAAAAATACACATAAAAAGTGCAACTCCTCTACTAGTCATCTGCACTACAGAATGATGTGAACTATAAAAAGGTTATACAAAATAATTGAGAATCCAGAACCCAGTAATCTGAAAAAAAAAAATCTATAAAGCAAAAACATTCTCCTCAGCATTTCAGAAAAGCTCAGCTAAAAGGTAATAACTCTAAAATAGTAATAGTGATAACCATGCATGATGGAAAGCAGGTAGTATTCATACCAGTTTTTTTTAAGTATTACTATTAGTATTAATACTAATCTAAAACAGATAATAAATTGTATTACTATGCATTGGGGCACTTCTTATTTATGGCTAGAAATGTTATTGATCACTAATAAGGCAGATTCCGGTGAAATCAGTGAAATTTATTTTATATAACTAGGATAAATGTGTACAATTTACGACGTCTATAACTCACGTTTAAGCAAAATGGCTCCCCAAGCTACACTGCAAGTAGATGGTTATGTGGTAAAATCGAATATTCATGGCTCACACTGTTTTAAATTCAAATATTTCCTCCTTATGCTTGATGTAGTTTGTCTAGCAAGTTCATCCACCCTGTGCATTTTTTAAAATTAAAGTCAACTGCTGTACCTTACATTTGATTGACTATGTAGTCTGACTATCACAGAGAGCAAATCCTCCCTTGTTCTATATGAGTGAAAGGCACATCTAGTTTGACTCTACTGCACACATTCGTCAATGTGTACAGAAAAGTCCAATTCACAAATTCTCTTTATCTACCAAACCAGAATTACTTATACAGAAACTAAAAATTGCTGGCTATGTTCTGATTTGCAGTTATTCTTTAACAAGTACAAACTGGTTTAATTTAGAAAGAAAGCAGATATTCTATTCAACCTTCTTAAATTAGATTTTCCCTCTATAAATGAAAAGTTGCATTTAGCTGCAGGCACAGTATATACCCTAAGGGTACCAGATCTTGTCTGATTTTGGAAGCTAACCAGACTCAGCTTTTGTTTTCACTCGGATGGGAGACCCTTCCTACTTTTCCTCCCCTCTGTTCTGCATACAAAGAATAGGAGATTGAGTGCAGTCAGATGTGTTTATAAGCATGCACAAACACTGTCTGAGAGTACCTCAGTACTACTACTACTACTATGCATGTTTAAGCACACAATACAAATATCCAAACATCATATGAAATATATAAAGTTAGAAGCACATGGTGTCATACCAAGTGCTTCTATCAGTGCAATAGGGCCACAAAGTGGAGTCTATGACATGCGAGTGTGGAGAAGAGCAAACCACATACCACATACTATAATGTAACCTGAGCCCTGCCACATGCACAATGGAGGACCATCTTATAGCAACACCAGAGGCATTCCAAGTGGCCAGCTACTGGTCAAAGGACATTTATTAGAATGCCAAGTTTTTAAAAATATACATTACAATGATATCCTTGGTTCACTTCTGATACGATAAATAAATAAATAGTGCAATTATATGTTAGTGTATATAATTTTCCCAACAAAATCTCTTCACATATCATAAAATTGTACTCTGGGCGGTTGGGAAACCTTCTGGAATAAATTTTCAGGGTATGTGAAATGCTCTGTTCAGGGACTGGTTTACAGGGAGAAAGTCCTGTTTTACTCTCCAAATGCCGCTGAATTTATTCCACAACATTCAATATTCAACATAAAACTCAATAAGAAAGCAGTGCTTCAAAATACCTAACTTTAAAAAGGAATGCAGAGCTTGTGTTCTTATTTCAAAATTTAGACCAGCATACAGAGATACACATTTCCTTTATCACATCCCTAGAGTCCTTTAAGTCAGTTTCACTTCAGAAACCACTGGCATGGTGATTGTAGTGTTCTCAAATCCCCAAAAGGGATGATCATGATTAACTATTCAGAGCACTTGATATACTACTGATCTGCAGTAACATCTACCCAGACAAACACAGACACACATATGTATGTATTGATGGCTGTGAGTATCTCTAAAACAAACAGCATAATGCAGTAATACTAGCGGCATAGTTTTGGATTTTCATAGGACATGTTTTCCCAAAGCAGATGATGGACAACAATATTTTTCTCAATTTTTATTCTAAATCATATGGAAAAAATTAAGCCTGCAGAAAGCCAAAATGAAAACGCCAGTGATAAAGGCTTTTGCAAGGTATCTTTGCAGATTTTCTGCAAAAGTGGAAAAGATACAAATCCTCTACCCCTTTAACCTAGGAGAACACCTTTCTAGGAATTTCCAGATCCTCCACCATGGCCGTAGTGGTTACCTGCTCCTAGACGTTGACCACAGAATCATGCTGAATGAACTACAAAGTCTAAAGATATGTGTTCTGTAGGAATCTCTAAATCCTCTAACACTAGTCTATGGTCAACGTCCAGCAGAATTTGGCCATTGAGTCACACGGGAAGACCTAGAAATTCCTACAGAGAACATATTAAAGAGAATTTCCTGAATAACCAAAATGTGAATGTGGAGGGCCTACTGTACTTCAGCATTTGACAATGTAACAAATGGATTAAATTTAAAGTCAAAGTGTTTATAGCTTCTCCATCTTTCTAATGCAAGGAGTATTAATATTTGACAGGACACAATGGAAACTGAAGTAGGTACAGTAGGCTCTCAGTTAACTTAAACTCAACTAACTGGCCAAAAAAAAAATTCAAAGTAATAATACTACATTCACAAATATGTTTTTGTAATACAGTTAAAATGTGTTACATTTTTAAAAAGCACTCTTATGTTCAATTATGCTTACTTCCAGATGGAAGAGGATGGCCTGAGTAAGAGGATGGCCTGAGTTCAAAAGTTTGGAGGAAAAAAACATTGTTTCATGAAAGATAAACCAATGTTTCATTTTGGGTGTTAGCTAATTCTGTTAGGGGAAAAATGCCCCAGTTGTAATTCTTTTTCAGGAACATGTTTTGTTTGGGAAAGGAATAATCAATTCTGTCTGGTATGAAGCTACCATCTGCACAAATCGCAAAAGCATCCTGCTGGTACATACACTGCTTCAGGGTTTAGAACAACTCCTTTCACTCAAATATTGGAAACACGAAGGAAAACACATATTGACCTGATTTCCCAAAGCCTGGGATCAGGAACTATTTATGTGTGGAATGAAAGAGGGAAGATACACAAAGAAATGCAATATTCTATTGTGATGAGACCATTTCCTGAATATTATTCTAATCACAAACACGTATCATGGAGATGGCTGATGAAAACTGTGTTGGAGGTCCAAGCAGATGGGAGCAAGAAGTGGAAAGCAGATGTAGGGAACCCAGGACACAATACAAATAAACCCCTTAGCCATTGACTTGATACCTACTGTTTCATATATGCATACTCAAAAGAATATCCTCCCTCAGAATCATTTGTGAATCTTTCTAGCTCCTACAGTACTATTCTATGATATGCTTCCAGCCCAAGTATGGTGAAAATATAGGGTTCACTATTATTGCCCATGACTTCAATATCCATGAGGCAGGTGGTCTTGGAACGTATCCAACACAGATGCAAAGGGCATACTGTACTCTGATATATGAGCCTTCTTTAGAATATCCCCCCCTCTCCCTCTAGCAAACTGAACTTCAAGGTACCAGTCTCGCCTACCCTGCTGCCAATACTTCCTTGGTTTAGAAACAACACACCCAAATGCCTGGTGGCGGAAATAAAAGTTGCCTATCTTCCTTCCTTCTCAGGCAAAGGACACTACTAATGAGATGTTTTGTTTCCAAGCTGAAGGATTTAGCTGCAATTCAACAAACCAAGGGAGGCAGAAAGGGTATTTCCAAACATAAATCACATACATGAAACAAATAGACACTAACATAACTAGGCATCTTTGTTTCATGCTCCTTTTCTATCACTGTCTTTGATCAAAGTCTACATACAGAGAAGAAATCTGGATCAATTGCAGTACAGGGCTGTGAGTAATGATATGAAAAATTGTGATGACATTTATGCACCTATCCCTTAGATTTGACAGTCATAATCATAACTCCAGTATCTCTACTGTTTCCGTTACATTTCTGCACCATGTGGAACTTCAACGCTGCCATCTGCCTAGTCCATAAATTTAAGAAATCTTTGGTGCAGTTGGCTATTTCATTTTATTAGACCAAATACTAATAAAAAACTTGAGTGAGTCAAGCAATTTTGTGAATATATTTCTAAATCTGCTTTTGTGTAGTTCCAAACAGTGTCCTTAGACCAGAAATGACTTGTAAGACAGAGTTTTGAAGATGCTTCCACTTGCTCCCTTTCACAGGATGTATATGTGGATCCAAAGCAAAGCAGAGCAAAGCAAAGCAAAAGTAATAGAATTGAACTGAAGTACTTGTGTATTTGTCCACTTCTGCTATTATATAGGAGCCCTACTTACGCGGAAGTAGAGAATGAGTAAACAAGTTGACACACATACATATCATGTTAGAAGACACTAGAACAGGTCATTCAGGCATTATTTCAGGATCTGAATTTGTAATGAAGACCATAAAGATTCCATTATATTACATATTATCTACAGATTTGCCTCAAGCAAAGAGTCCATAAATTGTAACATAAATATTTTCACATACATGGACTACAGTGCAATCCTGTGAGTGTAATATATTTTGGGCACTTTTACAAGTAATAATTAGCAAGGAAATAATAGGTTGGCATCTATCACGAGTTTGTAAACAGCCTGGAGCAGAGTTGCAAAATAGCCTTTTCACGCATTACATAAGAAACTACTACTAGCTCTTCTTCTGTTTACTCTGCTTTTCAAAATACCAAAGTAACCTCTTTATTTTCACTGGGGTACATTTTCTATAACCTCATAGTTCTCTTACTACAATTAACCTTTTGACATTATAAGAGTGAAAGGGACATATGGGTCTCCAAACAGAGATGCTTATGCACTCTGCACAATCACTAATAGCTTGAGTTCATAGAATATTCATTTCTAGAGACTGGGATAAGGAACAATGCCCTCTGTTAGTAAAAAATGTCTGGTGAGCATGCAGCTGATTATTAGATCATCTCAACTTCACGCTCAAAATCCAAACAAAAGGTGGCTTCATGTCCACTAACAAGGCTTGACATGGTGCTTCAGAGTGCCAACAAACATGACCCTCTTCCCATGAGGGGATGCCCTTGTCGTCCTATCATTCCACATCAGCCATGCTGTTTTCTAATTAAAATATTTCCATGTATTGCAGATGAGATGATCACATTAAGTTTTCTATATGCCCTATGGGCCTTCCCTCACTTCTTTAATTTCTTCTGCACATTCAACAGACTTATCCTGCTGTGGAATTGGAATGGAAATCCTTCCACACCCACATGTAAGAATTTAAATGCATTTTTGTTCATGTCTGATTATCTTATATATGAGGATTCCCCCCTTCTTTTCTTTTCTTTTCTTCTAAAAAAAAAGCTATTGAACCGCTTAGTATCAGTCTCCCACATAGGTAGTGCAGTATAGTGGTTTGAGTGTTGGGTTTAATTCCTACTCAACCATGAAAACCACTGGGTGACATTGGACATGTCACTCTCTCTCAGGTTCAGAGGAAGGCAAGGGCAAAGCCCTTTTAACAAATCATAAGAAAACCATATTATAAGTCACTATAAATCAAAATGACTTGGAGGTTCACACCACCACCATAACTCTCATCACAGGACAACAATAATATTTATTTATTTGCTTTATTTATTTGCTTTATTTCTATACCGCATATTTCAGCCCAGACAGGCGACTCTATGCGGTTTTAATAATAACATAATAACAGAAATGCAAGATAAAAGTAGTGCTACTTGAGAGCTGTACCTTTTGTTCTGCAGAATATCTTTTGTAAAAATGTTTACCTTGTGAAGTCACACTCTCCTCCTCCCCAATAAATGTTTAATTCGCCACAAAGCAAAACCAGTTTTTGTCTTCCTCCTGGGCCCCTTTCACACTAAACAACTGCAGCACTATGGTTATATTTTAAATACTACTGCTGCACTCCATGGAAACCTGGACTTGATAGTTTTGTGAAGCAGAGCAGCATGGTTGGGCACATAAATCCAGCTTTAAAAATTGCCTCTAATACATGGGACATTGACTTTTTTTAAAATGCAAGTGAATAGCAGGTGACTTCCAGATAATGTCCTTTTTTGGAAAAAAAAATAGTCTATATCTATTTGAATGAGGCTTGTGTTTTTTTGAAGCATTTGTAAAAACTAATTCATTTGTTCAGCATCCCTGCTATCTAAGCATGGTTCCAAATTTATTTATTTATTTATTTATTTATTTACGACATTTATATGCCGCCCTTCTCACCCCGAAGGAGACTCATAAAGTTTTTCATAAAGCCTTATCAGTGTAATTTCAATTACAATGGCTGCACAATTCCGTTCCAGACCTTTCATCCTCCCAGAAATCCCAGCCAGCTTGCCAGCTGTTAGGAACTGTGGGAGCTGGAGTTCAAAACACCTGGTAAAGAAGGCAGCATTTTTAGTTATGCCACCCCACTTTTTGAGATGAGCCTTCCAAACAAGCTCATCTCATCTCTCAGTTCTTACAAACATATTATTTCACCCTCCTAGGCAATTATAAAGAAATTTAAAAGTGAAATGCCTACAACAAGTTGAGGATGTATACAACAGAAGAAGAATGGCAACAGTTCAAAGATCTTACATTGCAGTTTGGAAAAATAAAGTGGATAGAGTTTTAAAAGAATGGGCAAATAGACATTTGGATATACATAAGCAAGATGATAAAGCAATAGGATTATCAAAGACACTGATGGAGAGGTGAAGCAAAACATTATCAATCTAGATATGCTATTACCAAAAGACTCAATAACCATGCAATCCTATCTAAGCGCATCTATTCAGAAATATGATCCACTCAGTTCAACAGGCATACACTGGATAAATGTGCATAAATAGGATTGCAACCTAAGACACGTTCAAGAATGTAAACTGAGCAAAACATAGAACCTAACTGCTCCCAGCAAAGAAGAGAAACACTCCTTGAATGCACCATTGTCTTCTATCCCATGTTGTACTTTCTATTCCTACTGCTGATTTTCTCTTCCTTTTGTGCTGTCTTAGGCATAAGCTATAGTTCTGCTAAAATGGAGAGGCAAACACCCACATGCAATCATTGTAAAACCCCAAAAAGAAATAAAGTCCTTTAAAATCTGTGTTGTTTTCAAAGCCATGGTGTGCAGAAAATGTATACATACTTTCTATCAATAATAGTCCATCCTTTTGTTGTGTTTCTGAAATGCCTTTTAAAGAAGCACTATGAATTGACAATAGATATTGCTAGCAGAATATTTCACTTACTCTGCAATCCCGCTGTAGAGTTTTCATTAGTGCACTGTAGGTTTCGGAGTCAAAATACAATCCTTCATGCATGTCTTGCAGAAAATCCAAATCTTTAAAGGTGGGGTTGGACTTCTCTCGCTCTTTCCTGGATGCCCTCCTTTTGTATGTTGAGCCTTTCAAGTCATATGTGAAATGCATTTTCAGTGCTCGAGGCAGAACATTGTTCATCACAACTATCCGGATATTAATACCCCCTGACTGGACGCAATATAGTCCATAAAATTTTGGCAAGAGTGTCCTTGGATTCTGGTTGAGATTCTTTAAAAAGAAAGCCAAAAAGAGCAATGAACACTTGCAATACAGTTCACGTCAGATTTCTATACAAATATAAATAGAAAATCAGATGTATTCCAAAGCAATACAGTTCAGGTCAGATTTCTATCAATATAAAAAGAGAATCAGTTGTATTCCAAACAATCTAGGCACTAATATTTAGGATGAGTAAGTCAAAATCTTTGTTACTCCTGTCCAAAACCACATAAACTTTAACAAATTATTTGTCAAGCAATCTCTGTTCTTATGACTGCTAAACAAAATATATTGTCAGGATATATTCATATTTTATTTGGAATAAGCTTTATTGAAGAGTTCTACATAAGTAAATACGCTTTAGTTTCAGCTATCATTCTTACTATTTGAAAAACTGCATCTCTGTATACAAACCAGCACAAAGACTGCAGTCAACGGAGGAGGCCCTCCTCTCAGTCCCACCCCCATCTCAAGCGTGGTTGGTAGGGTTGAGAGAGGGGGCATTCTCTGTTGTGGCACTCCTCCTCTGGAACTCATTCTCTAAAGAAATAAAAACAGCTCACTCTCTTCTCTCCATTAAAAAGCTTTTAAAAACTCTTATGCACCTTAGCATATGGAGAGGAGTAAGACTAGTACACCCTTACAGATATCCTTGCCTAGAAATTGGACACCTACTTCAGCCTACGGAAAATGTGTGTGATGAGTTATATTATGTTTATTTAAGTTCAATTATGTATTTTTTGTTCAGTTTTATAAGTTTATTTTGAGATTGTTTTGTCCACTGTTTGATTTATCATTGTTTGTTTTCGGCATGGAATATCTGCCATTTTGTAACTTTGAAACCGCCTTGAGTCCCCTCAGGAAGATAGAGCGGGGTACCAATAAATTGTTGTTGTTGTTGTTGTTGATGATGATGATGCTATAAAGAGACTAGGAACTGTTTGCAGGATTGAATATTTGTTCCTTGCCAGATATTATTCTTAGCTGTATGTAAAATATGCAAGGAAAACATTTTTTTTCTGGGGAGGAAACTCCCTATGACTTCATTCTCAAAGAGCATTGAGTCAGCACCACCTGCACTTCTTTTAAACCAGAACCTACAAGTTTCAATACTGTGTAGTGAAGAAGACTATAAAAAAGGCACATTCTGAAAGAAAGAAAAATAACAGGACAATCCTATAGGTCACAATAACACATAAGTTAATATGGTGCGGATTACTCATATAAATACAACTACTATGCCACAGAACAGGAAAACATAGTAGCATTGTAGAGGTGTTCTACCAATAATAAGATTAGTCACACCCATTAATAATAATATTATTATTATTACTTATTTGTTACCAGCCTCTCCTCATGGCTTGAGGCAGGGTATAACATAATTAAAACAAACAGGATGTTCAGTCATTACCCTTTAATTTCAAAATAAGCGCACTTTTCCCCTTTAAGATCCAACATAACAGCAAACATTGAGAAATGGGAAATCGGTATTCAAAATTCACAAGAAGGTAGGTAAGCACTGAATGAATTGTTAAAGGGCTAAATAAAAATGCACTCTCTTCCTTCTCCCTCCCAGAAAAAAGCAAGTAGGAGAAGCTGAGGACTTGAACTTATTTACCATGTAGTAGCCAGGCAACAGTTTCTGAAGGAACTCTGCTTCTTTGTGTTGAACTGTTTTGATTATGAACTCGTCATCACTGGTGACAAAGAACAAGGATCCACTCGCACCAGGGTTGGATAGTTCTATTAAAGGTTCGCTGCAAATTGAATACTGATCACAGAGACAAAAAGAAATTTAGTGTCAGTGTGGGTAATGAAAATGCAGAAGTCTATCCACCTCCTGAAAAATTAGGTTAATTATGAAAAATGCTAAGGATAGCTTCATGAGCCTCAATAACCTAAACATTCCACAGTATTCAACTAATCTGGAAAGTGCTTGCCAGTAGGAAAACAAATGTTTCTACTTTAGAAACAGGTTCTTCCTCATTTTCACAGCATGCTTCCTTCGTCAGGACTGACACACAAGTCATTTGTAAGACATTACTGCCGCTGATTTAAATGCTATCCTTACTTGTACAATTGGCAAAAACTGGGCAAGAGCAGAGACATTTTCTTTTGCAGAGAATTCCCCTTCTCTGCAAAAGCAGGTACTTAGGAAACATTCCTGGCAGACTGTAAGCACTCTCATAAGTGGCCAAGTGGAGCTGGATTTAGCTACTTTGCTAAATCTAACATAAAAAGTGAGTAACAGGAATTCAAGTAAAACTCTCACAATTGACCTCAGTGCCTTTGGAGGAGGTCAACTGTGAGTTTTACTTGAATTCCTGTTACTGCTATTGTCATTTCTATGGCTTATTCTGCGAGTGTAGGTTTTATTTGTACTTAGGAAATAAGACATTCCCTCCTACATGTGCTTCTGCTGTGAAAATCTCAAAGGCAAAATATTATGAGTATTCCATCAACTTTTATCCCACTTCCCATCTCTGGTGATCTCATGAGGTTGTGTGCCACAAAAACAAACAGTCCATTAAAATGTACATCAAAATGCAAACATGAGAAATCACAACATTAAATAATTCAGGAAAAACAATTGTCTAAAACCACGGCACAATTCTCAAACTAGGCAGGACAGTCAGTTGGAAAAGGGCCAGGGACAGAGGTGGTATCTTAAACAGGTGCCTAAAGCATGCCACAGTTAGTGCCTCCTGAACACAAGCAGGGAAAGGGGGCATTCCAAAAGGGTAGGGACCCCCACGGAGAATGCTCACTTTCGGGCTCACATGAGATGGCCATCTGTAAGTCGTGGACCAACCTGCAGGGCCTTCGCCGATGACCTTAGTGATGACATGGGTCTATCTCAAGGGAAGGCATCTGCTAGTAAATTAGATCATATTTTTCTGATCAGCAGCACCACCACAGAAAATGTGAACAGATTGCAGCAAAGTCAACAGAAAAGTCCGAGGTGAGGCATCTCAGAGTAAGTATTTTCTCATACATGCTCGTGTGCAAAGAGTTCTTACAGCAAACAAAAATATAGGTATTCATATTTCAAAAAACCCATTCTATCAATCCTAATGTTTTACTAGGTTAAAGTGCCATTATAAGAAGAGGAAATTGCCTTTTTAGCTTGATTAGAAGCCTCCAGGTCTCTACATCAGAATTCCAATTTTATTAAATAGTAACAATATTCCATTTTCAAAGAAGATGACATTTCTAAATATAATAATCTCCTTTCCTCGCGTATTTTATTTATTTATTTATGACATTTATATACCGTCTTTCTCAGCCTGAGGGCGACTCAGGGTGGTTCACAATTGGCAACCATTCAATGCCACAACCATTATAACAGTTAAAGCAACCATAAATTAGCATTAAAACATTAACATACAATATAAGCTGTTAATTTTTTTAAAAAATATTAAAACCTGTACAAGCCTTAAAAACATTATTGTGAGTGTCTCCATGTCATGTCATTATTCAGTTTTATTGTTGAGTCGTTCCGAGAATTCGTATAGCGATGCTGTACTTGGAAAAGCCTGTTCAAAAAGCCAGGTTTTCACCTTCCTTCGAAAGGTCAGGAGGGAGGGGGCTGATCTTATATCCCTAGGCATGGCATTCCACAGTCGAGGGGCCACCACTGAGAAGGCCCTGTCTCTCGTCCCCACCAACCACATATGCGAGGAAGGCGGGAGGAAGAGCAGGGCCTCCCCAGAAGATCTTAACATCCTAGATGGTTCATAAGGAGAGATACATTTGGATAGGTATTTTCCTATGAAACATAATACAGTGCCTGCCACAACTCTTGTAATGATCAGGTAATTTTACAACAGCACCAACAGACTTGGAAGTCCTTAATTAACCATACTTTTTATTTCTTCTGAACCAGGAAATTTTAGTTATCAAGCTTTGAAACACAACTGGATATCAATCCATGGAAGCAAACGATTCTGTGCCTCCAAGAAAGGAGTTTAGGAGAAAGCCTTGCACAGAGCTTGGCTTAATAAGACAAGATAGTCTTACTCTACCTGAGTTGATCTCTAGGTTCAACAGAGAGCAACTAGAGTGGAAACCCCAGGTTGTCGTTACATAGCCTTCCTTCCGATGTAAATGTTGGACTACATTATGATTTTGTACTACATACGGACATTGTCTTTATCTGTGTATTTTTATCTGATAGTACTTTTACTATAGTAATATTATCTGATAGTACCTTTACTATAGTAATATTACTATAGAGTGGGGTACATTACTATAATTATTATTATTATTTCACTTAATGCATCCATATAGGTTTATTTACTAACAAATCTACTGGATATACATTCCAAGACACTGTTTGCATACTGAAACCCTGAATAATAGTGAAATTTATATTATAATTTTGCATATTGAGCATCTCTTATTGGGAAATTCAAAATACAGTCATCCCTCCACATTTGCATTTTTGATTATTAGTGGATTTGATTAAAATGCTCTCACTGGGAAGCTCTAGGTCTTCCGGTGTGGTCAACTTCCTTAAATCATGCTAGAGGGCTTAAAATACAGTGAGAACACTTCTCTAAGAATCTGTAGGTCCTCCAGTGAGATTTTATGATCAGCCTCTAGCAGAAGATGACCACTGTGTTATGCTGGAGGACCTAGAAATTCCTAAAGAGATGTTTTCTCTGGTAAAAAAATATATAGCAATGTCTTTATACAGAGTTTTTCATTTTCTCAGGAGTGCTGTGTCCCTAATCACATCATTGTAGAGGCCTGACTGCTTTCAGGCTATTACTTTCAGGCTATGAATGTAAGGTCTATATGAAACATAAATGAATTCTGACTTTAAACTTGGATCCCATTAACAAGATACACATCTCCTTCTATGTCCCACCTCGGAGCTTAAGATCTTCTGGGGAGGCCCTGCTCTTGGCCCCGCCTTCGTCTCAAACACGCTTGGAGGGAAGACGAGGAACAGGGCCTTCTCGGTGGTGGCCCCCTGCCTGTGGAATTTGCTCCCTGGGGAAATTAAGTCATCGTCATCCCTCCTCACCTTTAGAAAAAAGGTTAAAATGTGGCTGTGGGACCAGGCCTTCGGGCAATCAGGTTAAAGAACAATTGATAATGTTTGACTATGGCATGGAAGAGGATTTGGATAAGTTAAGCGGAGTAATCATTAGTAGATGGCTAGCTAACCAGCCACCAGACTGGCAATAGCTAATCAGAGTGTAAGTATACTGTTTTAATCTTTATTTATTAATGTTTATGTTTAATTGTTATATTTGTTATTCTGTATTTTATGATGTGGCATTGAATTATTGCCAATTGGAAGCTGCCCTGAGTCCCCCCAGGGGTTGAGAAGGGCGGGGTAAAAATGTTCGAAATAAACAAATAAAATAAATATGTGTGTGTGTGTGTGTAGATAAATACAGGTATTCCAAAATCTGTGGGAGGGGGGAGGGGAATGAAATCCAAACATTTATGGACCTAGCCATTTTGGATAAGGGATGCTTAACCTGTATTTCAGACGAAAGCAAAATAGCACTAAAGGACTAGAAACACTTCTGGAAGGGAATGCTTTTTGGAGCGTGGGAAAGTGGAACAGTGGGCATCAAATTCATAGATAAGGGGGTCATACTGTACTCACAAAATACTAGCTTTGCCTTTGATAACAGCACCATATCAAAAACAAAATGAAGACATAATCCACTGATGCCTGGGACTGCATGCTCAGAACAACATTTCACATATGCTGTTCCTCTTCCAGCTATTTAGAAGAGGCTGAAACCCAGGGATGGGGCAACACATGCAGTTCCTACTGCATTACTCTCCTGCTGCCTTCAGCCTTTTCCTGCCTAGCAGACTGCTGTTCATCTGCCTACAACAACTTAATGCCACCTGTCCTTTTACTATCAATGGGTAAGCACATAAAGCTGATCAAACCAAGAGCTACATAGGGCTTTTTTAAAAAATGCATAATGGTTATATTCTGTGAGCTGCCTTTTTTCCAGGTCAAGGTTACAGCACAGAGAAGAAAATATTTATATACTCTGTTAGACAATTACAAGTCAATTAACACATGGAGGTCCCTTGACAAGGATTCAATCAGCAAAATCCACAGGAGTATTTAGTTGCAATTACAATATTCTAGTGGAAATAATGACCTGAGAAGCAATTATATTGAGCAATCAATTAACACATCAGATTTTAGGGCAATTTATTAAAGACTGAATTATTGAAAACTCAGCCATGAGCTAAATTTATACAGGAACTTTTAAAAAGTACAGCTCGTCTTATCTGACCAATTTAGAACTCATGAATTTAGTTTTATATATCACGCTCCACAGGGAATTTTTCTTAGCACTCCTGATTCCAGGTGACTAGAGTAAGCCTTCAGGAGCATCAAGAAAAACCTGACAGATAACAACGAATATTCCTCTTTGGCATGGAATCTGGTACAAGTAACTTAGAAATGAATAGCAAAGACAAGTTCTCAGTCTCATCCTAGAATGAAGTAATTGATCCTCATGGGAAATGGAGATGGGGGAGAAAAGAAACAAATTCTTACCAAGTAGTCATCAGGCTTAATACCAAAAAGTTCTCTGAAGTAGCGGAAGGCAAGAGGAGCATACGTTTTAAATCTGAAGTCTGGATAATGGTGAGCAGGAGTCAAATTGCTCCCTTCACTGGATGGAAAGAGAAATTTAACATATTACAAACATGCCATTTTAAAAAGGAAACTTACTATAAACCAGCTTCAGACTTTGCTCTTCCCTCCCCGCGAGCAAAATCAGCAGGTAGAGCAAATCAAATTAATATGACTGCACAGTTATCAAGGTAAAGGTTTTCCCCTGACATTAAGTCCAGACATGTCTGACTCTGGGGGTTGGTGCTCATCTCCATTTCTAAGCTGAAGAGCCGGCGTTGTCCGTAGATACCTCCAAGGTCATGTGGCCGGCATGACTGCATGGAGCACTGTTACCTTCCCGCCAGAGCAGTATCTATTGATCTACTCACATTTGCATGTTTTCAAACTATGTTGGCATAGATACCAAATTAATGGACTATCCAATTTACATTGTCAGATAATTCTAATCTAGTGCCTTTTTTTCTGAGCTTCGAAAGCCAGACTATAACTGCAACCTTACACCAACTTATGAGAATGAGCACTGAATTCAATAGGATCTTACACTTGACTAACCCTTTATAGAACTGTAGCATATGCTAACCAGCCAACATCATCAATAATTTAAAGCATTACTAACATCAGTTTACTGTTTATCTTTTCTGCAGCATTAAGCATTCTGGGAGAGTTTTGTCTACCATATTGTGTGCTGTTAACAGACAAAGGCTGGGATCCTATGCCAGGAATGTAAAGTACAAACCTCTGTATGTGAAGTTACAGACTGAATGCACTAAGCAATACCTGTGTTTAATAACACCTTTGCACAACTGAATGTGCAAACAAATGCACATGTAGCTGAGTATTACATGCCCAGCTGTGTAAGTATGCTTTGGTATCCTTCAACTGAATACTGATTTCTCGCAAAATGTCTAACCTCTTTCTAGGGAGATCTGGCATACATATTCCAACAGAATTCCATCCAGCATTTTAGATGTTGTGAATTAGATACGGTAACCTGTTGTGATCAATCTACTGAGTTAGAAACCTACATCATCTTTATGCAATCACATCTGAAAAGGCTCTCTATATCATTTGTACATTACAACAGCTGGACTGTGCACTAAGCCAACTACTGTATGTTGTCAATTCTATACCTTCCTATTCCAACCTACTGCACTTCATGTATTGCTCCTAAACAACTAGGCCACAAAACAAATCAGTATGGCACAGCTGGACAATGCAAGAAGTGACTACAATGAAGGAGAACAAGTTGAGATTCTTTGTGCCAGAAAGAGCAGCACACTGACTGTAAAAGAACAGCAACCAGCTCACACAAAGAGCCAAGTAAGTTGGAGAATAGCAGTACTGTGATAGAGAAAAGCCTGAAGTCCTTATGGCTACTGATAAACATTTAGTAGAGGACTGTGTGTGTGTGTGTTAAGAAATACACAGCACGAGGCAAAAGAGAGATAACTACTGGGGGAAAATATCTATAGAAAATGCTCTGTTTGTTTTGAGTAACATCATAACTCAAAATCCGCTGGACAAATTGCTGCCAAATTTGACCACAAGACACATACTAACCCAAGGAGTGACCATCACTCAAAAAATTTGATTTTGTCATTTGGGAGTTGTAGTTGCTGGGATTTATAGTTCACCTACAATCAAAGAGCATTCTGAACTCCACCGACGATGGAATTGAACCAAGCTTGGCACACAAGACTCCCATGACCAACAAAAAAGACTAAAAGGTTTGGTGGGCACTGTTCTTGAGTTTTGGATTTGTAATTCATCTACATCTGGAGAGCACTGTGGTACGAATACTCCATATGCCCAAATATGAAAACAGATGGAGTTTGGGGGAAATAGACATTGACATTTGGGAGTTGTAGTCACCGAGATTTATAGTTCACTACAATCAAAGAGCATTCTGAACCCCATCAATAATAGAATTGGGCCAAAGTTCCCACACAGAACCTACATGACCAACAGAAAATACCGTGTGTTCTGGTGGTCTTTGGCAACCCCTCTGACACCCACTCACAACCCCGCCCCAGGGGCCCCGACCCCCAGGTTGAGAAATGCTTCCTTAAGGCCATCCAGTCCAACTCTCTTCACCAGGGAAAGAAAACATAATCAAAGCCCTTCTGACAAAGAGCCACCCAGTCATAGATATAGATAGATATATGAATCGCACACACAAATATATATGTATATGACAGATAAAGTATCATAGATTTGAAAGGGACCCCTAAAGAAAGACAATTATGTGTTGCACGTTCCGGAGTAGGCAAACCTGACAAAGAAACAACAAGAAACGCTGTTTACCCACAAGCATAAAGAAATTACATATATTAGAAACTAACACTTTCTCATTACTTTATTTTCCAGATCACCAGACTGGGCCACAGCAACGAGTGGCAGGGGACCGATAGTTACAAAATAATATTTATACAAGGCATTCGATCTTTAGATTCTCAACTGTTCCCAACCATTACTCTATTCCCACTCCAAGGACCTTTATCTCAATATGAGCTCTATTTTTAAATTGTTCTCCAAGTCTTATTGCAAACTTTACTGATGCTTTAAATGAAATGTAAATTGTGTAACAGCAAAGGAGAACAAACCCCAGATTATATGACATTTTATTCTTGTATTTATTTAATGTTAACACTATCAATGATAGAACTTTTAATGATGGTGCTTCTTTATAGTATGCATTTTTTTGAAACCACACATATTGATCAGTCTACCAGGTTGTTCTGGAAACTCTCATTCAGAAACATGGGCCTTAAAGACAAAAAGCTTGGCTATAATGCTAAAAGTGCTAAAAGTGTGTGTGTTGGGGGACTGTAGCTCTTCACATCATCTGGCTTTCTAGATAATGCAAGCCCACCCTTGCTATCTGGACCACTCCCATGAGAATTGCCTCCTTCCCTGCTTCAAGTGTGTTCAGAAGATAGGCAGAGAATAAGGCAGAGAAGGGATGGATGACACGGAGAGAAACATTGCTATACAAAGCTGCAAACTCCACCTACTTGGCTGAAATTGAAACTCATGAGCAACCACAATCCTTGGTTTGAGTTTTCCTTCTTAAGGCTTTTGCTCGTCAAGGAAAAATATCCCCCAGCACCTATTAGTCAGACGGACTACAGTATTGTCTTGACAGCCTTTTTGTATTCATACCATGTAATCCGGCTTTCCCAAAATACTTATAGCCTCATCACACCAGAGCATGGATCCACTTTAAATCAGGTTTCTGCCTCCTGCAGAATTCTGGGGTTTGTAGTTTAGTGAGGCCCAGGACCTCTCTGTCTGAGCATTTTAAAGGCCCCTCCCCTAAACTACAAGCTCCAAAATTATTCAGGAGGCAGCAACAGTATTTAAAATGAATCCATGCTCTAGTGTGACAAGGTCCTATGTTACAATACAATTATACATGGTATCAACAATACCCTGGCCTAGACTACTGAGAAGGTTGATGGCCATCACAATGTCCATGGGAAACAACATGTAGGTAACAAAAACAGAAACACACAAGTTAAATCCTATGATATCATTTCATATCTGATTACATTCAGCCTTGAAATTTCCTGTGTCAGTCACATCAGAAAGTTGCATTTAGATTCAGAAACTCATGCATCCAAGAGGTTATCAGGTTCATATCTCAGATTCCAAAGTTCAACCAACTTGGGTTGCAGGTCTGACATCAAGAACTATGGGAGGCTAAAGGACATAACTTTGCTAAAACGTGACGACTGTTTCAATTGTTTTGCCAAGCAGTAGATATTTGTAAAAGGAAGACTGCAATTGCCGAACAACACATTCAAAAGCAGCCATATAGGGCCCACAGGTGCCTACAGACTAGAACATCTTTCGGCTTTTCACTTGAAGTTCTGTTTTCAAAGGCAGAATCATATAAAATCTAACATAAAGTGTTTCTGAACTATCTACATTTAAATCTCACCAAAGATTTGAAATATGAGACCACAGTTTGTGTTTTTTTACGATGACTTCTTATGGTTCAATGTTATTGCCCATGTTGACAATGTCTTGTGTGCTGATTCATAACATAGCTGGAAACATTATATGCTTGCTGAATCATCTTTGGAAGGAGAGGGGTAAATCTCAATAAAACAAGTTCACTGAGTAAGTTACACAACTGCTATCTAATGAAAAATATGTACTCTTTAAAACATACTGCCATGCATATATTGGTGCAGATCCATGGAAATTATTTCAGAAACAACTGCATACCAGCTTCTAGGTAGGAACAGAGTTCCATGTAAGACAGGTAGACAGAGAGAGGCAACTGAGACTTCTTCTACACTGCCATACAAAATCCAGACAGAGAGAGACAACTGAGACCTCTTATACACTGCCATACAAAATACAGATTATCTGTTTTGAACTGGATTATATGGCAGTGTAGACTCATATAATCCACTTCAAAGCAGATAATGTGGATTATCTAATTTGATAATCTGGATTATATGGCAGTGTAGAAGGGGCCTGGGTTACTTCACCTTGCTCTCTTGCAAATCAAATGTCCTACTGCCTCACTTTCTCAGCCCCCTCCCTACTGACATCCCGAAAAAAAAAACCTGGCTTTTTGAACAAGACTTTGAAAGCACAGTGCAATGGATGAATATGAAACCCAGGAAGAATACACGTGGAACAGCTTGACAATGTCCTTGGAAAATGAGCTAATAGGAAATTACTGGTAATTATATGTTTTTAATGATTTTTACATGTTTTTTATAATGTGCATTAAATGTTTTTAATTTTGTTTTATGATCATTGTGGCATTGAATTGTGCCAGTGTACGCCACCATGAGTCCCATTTGGGCTGAGAAAGGTGGCATAGAAATGCAGTAAATAAATAATAAATATTGTTGTTCCCTCTGGCAATGCCATATTGCTTACCATAGTCCCATACATATTTCCTTGTAGAAGATAGTAGCAAACTCCTCTTGTATAACAGACACGCATGAGAACTGGTGCAGACTCCATAAAGCTTCCAGACATCACTGTTTGGGAATTTCTTAACAACTGAGCAATACAAATGGAACGATTGCTCCATCTCGTATCTCAGATGTTTTAAAACATTACAGACATTGTGTCATGGGAGAGTCTCTTCCATGAGCTCAGAATAGTAAAAGCAACAGCTAAAATTGATGCAAATTCATTTGCAAGGAATATGAGAAATCATTTGAATGATGTCCCCAAGCAGCTGAACAGCATGTGAACAGCACTGTTCACATGCAAAGCACAGTCATATTCATCTGTCATGGTGACTTTCAAGTGCACGGCATTCCCAAACTTTATATTGCATTTAATTTCAGCCTACATTCGATAATTGTATACATTTAGGAATACATTCAAATATGAATTCTGACACAGCATGCTCTACTATGATTTTGCTAAATGTTCAGCAGCTTTGTATACCATAGAACTATGAAGGAAGACCTATAAATGCCTAGAGAAGTGTTCTCCTCCGGCATGATTCTATGGTCAAATTGTATTGGGAAGTCCATCGGAGGTTGGCTACAGAATCACACTGAAGGCTATGCATCACTAAGTTCTTCTGTGCAATTCTATGGTATACATTGTCCAGAAGCCCAAGACATAGTTAATTTCAGGTAAGAATAATAGAGCTCCAGGTTATATGTGAAAATCATATTACACAAAGGGTTCGGGAATAGATCCCTCATGCAATATACAGGTCTACTATAAGTATAAAGGAAAGGGGCAAATTTGAATAGGTAGGTAAAAGAGTTGTGTGTGCTTTGTGTTTGTGGAAATCAAGAAAATAACTCTTTGCTAACCTGTCATTCAGGTGTTTCCATTACAGAGCCATTGTTATTTCACTGGAATGCAATTAGGACAATATAACAAACCTGTCAGCTCCACTCTTTCCACAAATTAACATTCTACCCCAAACCAGAATGAAACAACCAAACTAAAGCTGCGACATCACATAAATTTTTAAAAGGCCAAAACAATACCATGCTCCAGAAAACATCAACTCATTAGTTGTTTTAGGAAGAAATCTCCATTTTTTAACAATGAAAACACATTCTTTCTTCCAATAAATCTTCTATTTTATATGAATTCATATTCTTTTTAAAGGGCTTTGTTATATCATCCCTTTGTTATTACATTTTGTTGACAGCACAAACTAATCTGATTCCAAAGGAGATAGCATAGATAACAATTAAAATACGTATTATAATCAGATCTCCAATACTTTAAAAATCAGATCTCCGAAACAGCCAACACACTTTAAAAGTATTTGTTCAAAACCAGTTAGTTCTTTCAGTGCAGCTGCCTTCATTGATGGGTGAGGGTAATATGAGTAAACTGAAAGGCCTGTGATCACTGTACTATTAAATTGTGTCATTGGTTTTTCATTCTGATTATTATTTTTAGTTGAGATATCTGTATATAAATCTTTAACTCTGTATAGGCCTCTTTCCTCCTATTTTTGTAATAACACCTTTCCTCAGCATAGACAAATAAGAAATGATCTAAAAAGTGTAAACTCCACTATACCATAATATTCTATATTTATGAATACTTTTAAATTAACCCTTAAGCCTATACCTTTAAAAGATCAGTGGTGTAGCTGTTGTAGAGTGTTGAATACAAATCATGTACAAACATTGAGTTGAGTGGGTGGCCATGGATAAGTCAGTATCTTTCAGTCTAAGTTCACAAAGTTTTTGTGAAGATTAAGAGAAGAAAAAAGGCAGAACCATGTAGCCTGACATTATCGGTTAAGATTGAAAGGTAAGGTAAAATTGGAATATATATTATTTATTATGCCTCATGTTTTCCATAGAACAGTGGTTCCCAAACTTGTTTTCGCCAGAGACCACTTGATCAGGGACCACTTTGACCAGGAACCACCCTCCAACATTAGTACCAAAAGGGTTGCGAATCAGTTATTGGTCAACTTTAGATTTGGTTTGGTTATTTTGGGTACTGATTCAGAAAACGGCACTGGATACACCACATCAGCTCTAGTTTCTGATACAGAACATATGCCATCCATCTGCTCACCCACAAAAACCATATTTAATAATCTAAATCTGATGTGGTAGTAGTAATCTTTTGTGGGTAGTCAGCCACATCCTCCTGACATCCTCATTGCCTCGGCACTGAGGGTTTTGTGAGACCAGTGATGGTCCGCGGACCACAGGTTGGGAACTACGGCCATAGAACGTGCAACTTAAGGCAGCTTATAGAAATTAAAACAGATTCAGATAAAAGTATATATCAGTATCAGATAAAAACATATATCAATATCTCTTTCCATTTCTGAAATCACCTTAACTTCCAGTTCTAGGAAAAAGACAGAACATAAATAAATAAAGCAAGCTGGCACAGAATTGGTGCTCATGTTTTAGGAACAGATCTAATTTTGGTCTTACCTGGGAAGAAAGACACTTTCTACGACATAGAAGTCTTGCATAAGTACATCTCGGTCAGGTTTAGATGTGAGGTTGCCCACGGTGTATCCTATACCCAGCTGTATGGTACCTTTGATAGCTGACGATGCAGTCTGTTAAAAAAATGGGCAAAACATCAGCAGGCTGTAAGGGGATTTTCACCACACATATACGCATTATAATATTTTTGAGAGATTGATGCTTCAGTGCATTGGGTTCTTTGTGGCTAAAAAAAAGGTGATATACACCGAAGTTCCTACCTAGAAATTAGAGGTCTGGAGTCCATTAGAATAGTAAATAAAAGTTCAATGTGCAAGTGAAATGTTGGTGTACCTACAAACATAGTAATGAACTCAACAAAGGATAATTGTAAACTTGTCATCTCATAAAGAATTTCAGAAGCTAAGTAGCTTTTTCTTTGTATTAGATCTGGGCCATGCATGAGTATTCTTGCAACTGGACAGGCAGGCAGGCAGGTGCTAACAGGAAAAAACAATTGTTTTGGGAATCTCCAGAAACAACTCCCATTAATCAGGACATTGATCTAAGAAGATGGGAGTGGCAGAGTGGCCCAAGGTATAATCGGTTGCTTGTAATTAACTCCTCTGCCCAATAATGGAATAAAATTGTAATCACAATATATGGGGATGATGATAATCCTTTTGCACTGTAATGTAAATTTTTAATATATTTTGCAATTATGGTGATGTGGCAACACTAAATAATGGAGGAAAACCTTTACATGGCTCAAGAGCTAGCTTGTACTGTACTTTCACGCTGCTCCCTTGTGCTCTCTCATGAGTAATGGAAGAAACAGGAACAAGGAAGAAACAAGAGAGCATTTTGTACTACTGACCAGCAGCTTGTAACAAATGGCATTATTTCAAGTTAATTTAAGAATCGTAAGCAATTACACCATCATTACAGCTAGTGTGGTGTCATGGTTTGATTATGTATTATGACTCTAGAAACCAGGGTTTGACTCCTCGCTTGACCACAGAAACCTACTATTTATTTATCATGTCAGAAGCAAATTGAGGATACAGTTATAATGTATAATGTATACATTATATTTATTTATTTACCACATTTGTATCCCACACTTCTCACCCCAAAGGGGACTCAGGGCAGCCTCTCAAAGGCAAACTTCAATGCTGTATACACATAGGTAAATAAACAACTGAATTATAAACTACTTGGTGACCTTGAGCAAGTCACACTCTCTAGTCTCAAGGGAGGCAAATTCGCTGAACAAGTCTTGCCAAGAAAATCCTGTGATAGCTTTGCCTTAGGGGCACAGTACATGAGAAATAACTTGAACACTTGAAATTCATTCTTTTAACCACCACAATAACAAAAACAACCACAAAACCAATGCAACGATGCTAGCATTTTAAAAGGAAAGACTTTTAGAAGTGTTCTTTCAAAAACTTCTACAGTTCTCCTGAGGAGTATACCTTTGCATGCACCTCTTCATTATCACAGGCCCCTTCTATATTGCCATATGATTCAGATTATCAAAGCAGATAATCTGGATTTTATATGGCAGTGTAGAAGGGGTCTAAGGGTTCATCCAGGCAGCTTAAAAAGACTAGAAAGTCCCACTTTTTGTTCCTGTTCTTTCTGATTTTATCCTGGAGATTGATACATGATTGTTCACCCCAGAATGTCAGCTCCCAATATGGCCAGATACTTTTTATACCAGATTCCCAGACCAGTTTATTTTAATCCAGTAGAAACTCAGAACAATCAAGAACAAAATTTGGGACTTTTCAACCAGTCTGGTTGTGCCTTCAAAATATCAGATTTTGTTTCTGATTTTACTCTGAAGAACCATTAATGTTTTGTTTATCCTAGAATACTGGGATAAACAGTCAGACCAGTTCTTTGGAGCCCAGTATAACATTAGAACAGAAATAAAACCTGAGACTTTTCAACCAGTCTGGAAACACAAGATGAGACAGACAATCAAAACAAAGTGTTTTTGTGTGTAAGTGATCTGATTCTGAAAAAATATTTCAAGTGGGGATATTCTTCATAAGCCATAGTCCTTCAGGACAAAATAAATGCAGCCTGGCTATAAAGCCTGCTGTTGTTAAAAACAAGAAATTTAGAAGCATCCATTTGGTTAATTAGGTTGTAGAGAGAAGCTCAGATTAATTCAAACCCTAGAAACACAAGACAGGAATATAAAAGTATGCATATAATGACCGACTTCTGCCTCTATCTGTACCCAAAGGATTTGTCTCCTTCTCTCATATTCCAGTACAGTTTTAAAGATTTGTGCAGAGGAAAATAAAGCTAGAAAACTCTACCAATTTAATGCTGTGAATTCACAAGCTTGCTTCACACAGGAGAGATAAGGAAAATCTCCCATTAACCACAACTTGAGAGAATCTCAGTAGTAAGGTCTCTGCATCAGGTGGCACAATAGGCTCAGCTAGATCTTAAAGGCAATTCTCTATAGTTTGTGTTTATTTTTCAATTGAGAAACAATGTGCTATTGAATAATCATTGTGTTGTTGTTATTTAAACTAATTAATATCAAATCCTGCTAGTTGCATAACAGTTCCTAACAGGCAATTTATTGTGAACAAGGCACAGTTGGACATTCCTGAAATACAACTTTAATTGGTAAAGGGGCTGAACTGATTCCTCACAAACTTCCCATTTCTTCTCCTAAAAAGGTCTTTATATAAAAGGTTAATGTCCTGCATGAGGAATGAATTATGTAACTTTGCTCAGAGTTTGTTTCAGACTGTACTGTACCCTTAAGCTAGCTGAACCATTTCTTATTCTTACAGTATGGTTACAGAAAATGGATACAAACGGAAACAATAATCATCACTTGATTCGGTGAAAGATGACAGCCAGAAAATACGGATACTAGAAATATACAAAATTTATGAATCACAGATGCTGGGTTCACAGTCTTCTGATACAGTTGGGTCAATTTGAATTGTTGGTATGAGAATCTGCTAGCATTATTGTTTGCCTCAATAATGAGTATTCATTGTTGTTGTGTGTCTTCAAGTCATTTCTGACTTGTGGAGGCCCTAAACTGACGCCATCATAAGGTTTTCTAAGAGCCCCCAGTGATGCAATGGGTTAAGCCCTTGTGCCAGCAATAATGAAGACCGTCTGGTCGGAGGTTCGAATCCAGGGAGAGCATGGACGAGCCCTCTCTGTCAGCTCCAGCTCCTCATGCAGGGACTTGACAGAAGCCTCTCACAAGGATGGTAAAACATCAAAAACATTTGGGTGGCCCCTGAACAACATCCTTGCAGACGGCCAATTCTCTCACACCAGATGTGACTTGCAGTTTCTCAAGTTACTCCTGACATGGAAAAAAAGTTTTCTGGGCATTATTTTACTGAGAGGAGCTTTAACATTGCTTTCCTCTGAGGCTGAAAGAGTGTTACTAACCCTGAGATTATCAAATGAGTTTTCATGGCTGAGCAGGGATTTGAACCCTGGTCTCCTGGTGACCTAGGTCAGCACCACTCCATCATATTGGCTCCCTAATGTGGTGCAGTGGTTTTCATGCATATAATCTTGCCAAATCTTTATGATACCAGGATTTGTTCAGAGGTAGCTTGGCTTTGCCATCCTCTGAAGCTGAGAGTGTGACATGCTCAAGGTGTTTCCATGGCCAAACAAGGATTCAAATCCTGGCCTCGAGAGTCATTGTCCAATGCTCAAACTACTACGGTACTTTGTCATACACTATGCACAGATGTATCCATTACCTCCTTGTTTAGCATTTTTTGCCTAGTTGTACAATGAGAGCAGGATGGCACTAGGGTGCACCCCAGATCCCTAACACAGGCAATCCTGGGTTGGCTACAATGAGGCAACCCACTGTCACTGGGTTCCCATTGCTCCATTGGGAAAAGAGAGCTGTCCCTTCCCCTCCAAACCTCCAGCATAAGTACATTGAACCATCATACAATAGGAACTCTGGCACTATTTCCATGAATGCAAATGCGTACACAAGACAAGGACAAATACCACACATAGACTAAAACATTAACATTAATGTTTACACAGCTCTCATAGTTTGAAATAGGTGGGACTCAGTGTTTCCTTCTGCTAATGATAATGTCACCTGAGTACAGTTCTGCACAAATTACTCCTGTCTGCTGAAAGTGAGGGAAGAGGGAATTTATTTTTGAAAAAAAATCTCCTCCCCTTGCAGCCATGACGTCAATTTCTCCATTGCCTCCCATAGGGTATTAATCACCCCTAATGCAACGAAATGCTCCACTAGATCTGAGACTTTCCAGAAATGGAAGGAACCCCTTTGTGCAAAGAAGAAAATTCTGGATTCACCCTGGTATAAACTGACTGCAGTGCATTGTTCTCTCTTTCAGAAACTGTATGTATTTATGAGCCTCCAAGTTGCCTGTTGCCTTATGTTGACTCCATGAATTTCATAGCGTTTTCTTAGTCACAGAGGTGATTTTGCCAGTTCCTTCCGAAAGCACATTTTTTTCTTTCTTCATGTTGGCAAGATTAAGAAAGTATATCTCAAGTTCTACTTCAAATATGACATCTATGTGAATCATTTTTTATATCATAATTTTATATCTCATATATATAATAATAATAAAACGTTATTTATAGACTGCCCCTCTCTCCAAGGGGACTCAAAGCCATTTACAACACAAAAAGGCAAACATTCAATGTCCAGACAAATGCAAAAAATATTACAATATTGCAATATAATAAAAATAACAATGTCAGTGAACTTGGTGTCAAAATGAAAAACAAGATAAAAATCTCACAAAATACATAGTAAAAACGAATGTAAAGAAATTAAGATAAAATCACATAAAATCCTGTGTTCGGATGGGGTACTTCTAACCTTATAGCCTCAAGCCACATTGGCTTATTCTGTGCTCCAGGATCATGTGGAGTGCATCATGGGACAAACTGTGCTGTTTCCCATTTATGTAAGAACAAGCTAAGTGAATCATACCTCATGGAAATCAACAGGACTGGATAAGTCCTATGTTCAGTTTTGAATAATTTAAGGGTATCTGAACCAAGGCTGCCACAGCTGTTTTACAGTGTTGTAAGAACAGACAGATATATTGGTACATGTCACAGG